CCGGGTGCTCGAGAGTAACGGACGATAAAGATTCGATCAACAACGGTCCCGAGCACGTGCCCAAGTGGCGTATACTTAATATTGCGCATACGCCACCGCTCCCTTAAAGTGTGCGAGAAAATTTAAAAAAACTGTGCGTCCATAGGACTTAAAATTAATTTGTTGAAACTTTGAATAAGACTAGTGTCCAAACTAAATGAAGATGTGCGAATTGATTGTCAGTCATGGACTCGACCGCGAGGTAAACAAAAAAAACAACACATGATTCATGTGATTTTCCAGCTGTTCGAAATGGTTTTTTTCATTAATTGTTTGAAAGTATATTTGGTTATTAACTTTACGCTCAGGCACGTTGAACACAGCTCGGTGTGAGCACTCAGCAAATATATAAAAACGAGGCAATATTTAACCCAGACTTGGCCCAGAGACGAGAGACAGTCAACTGCCATTGACGTTTGACTTTGGCTGCCCCTCCACACGCCACTTCTCCGATCTGCGATTCGATCTCAACCTGCCTTAAGTGCGTTCAAAAATCGCATATTATTTTGTTTATATCTGGCGAAATTGCGTTTTGTTTTTAATTGTTGCGATTACCCCCCGCCGATGTGGTTCCGCTTCACTTACCAGGTTCTTTTGTTGTCATTTCGGTTCTCTAAACCAAATTGGGGATGTCTGTCTGTCAAAATGGCTTTCCGATCTATTTCACTGACCCATTTCAAAGCCCCTCGCATGCTGCCTCCCATAATTTTCGCTCACATCTCTCGACCTTGCATGCAGCTCAACTAATGTGGAATATCTACAAAGTCGTCGCACTTTATCGCTGCTTTATATCGGACTAATTGCAGGCGAGGTCATCTCGCTGCCTCTGACTATCTATGCAGCGCACATTCATGTTTACTTTGGGGGCTCATTCATAATTGATTTACGGCCCACTCGATGGCGAATCAAAGTCAAGGCATGGACAGCCCCACTCGGCGGTTCTTCAACTCGAGGGCTAATCAATCGAGATTTAATCAAGCCCCCTTCTGCGACGCTACGAATATATCTAGTAGTAGTTGCATATTCTTCGAGTAACCCTCATGATATAAGGCGCTAATGCGGCGGAGGAGTGGGTTTTGTTTTTGGCCTTATCACGACTCGCTAATAGTTGAATCACGACCTTCACAACCGAAGAATCGAGCCAGGCGCTGCCTTGGCTTTTGCTGCGTCTTCTCAACATATGATCTCACATCTTAACAATCCAAAGCCGCATCTGTTAGCTGAAATGTGGGTGCTGGTCGATCCAAACTAAGCTGATTTCCGATTTATGCAAATTCTTCTGCCAATCTCCAGGGTGAGAGCAAGAGTTTATTTTGGTAATTCGGGGACAATTAGCACAACCATTGACGTCACTGGCGAAATGTTCACACGCTGTCAGTGCCAACACAATAAAACACGTTTTCCTCGAAACACAAAAATATGAAATATTGCACAGAATATAATGTGTTATAAAGTCCAAGCTGGGCGAGGAGCACCCAGAACATTAGTCAGAGGCCGAAATGAATTTCACATTGAAGTTGGAGCTTTTCTGGTATCAGTCGAAGGGGACAGAATTAACAGGCAGCAGCTTTGTTTTGGCCGAAACTGAGATTTTTGCGAGATAAGATTGTATTAAAATTAAATACGATTGACACAAATACCCCCGGCTAGCAGTGATAATGGTTAGTTCTTGTACGCTGCTTCATTTGAAAGGTTGTCCATCATGGGGTTCCACGAAAAACTAAAAAAATTACACCACCCTAGGCACCAAGGAAGGGGTCTTCATAGGAACTTGAGGGTAAGACCTTGAGAAAGATAGTATCAAGAAAGACTAGTGTTGGTGTTTAGTTATGAGTCACTTTCCCAGAGGATCGCTTTTTTACTATTAGTCAATTATTTAAGAACGAGGTAGGCTTTGATTGAAATTTGAAATTTTTTCATAAAATCCAAAACATAGTAGCCATGACTTTATATTTTCATCTGTGACCTGGACCTTAGGAATACAGCCCCTGAATTCTCACAGTCGCTTTCCATAACTCAGTACGAGTAGATCTCTCCAGTGCAAATAAAATTAGTTGTTTATTTTTTAATTCGGAATATTTTCAATTTGGTAATAATTTTAATTCGTCCAATTTAGTCCCGAAAAAAAAATCAAATCATTGTCGTAGTAAAAGTTGTTCGTAGCTGTAGTCTAAATTGTTGGTGATTTTTGAGTTGAAGCTGATCCAGTCAAGCCATCATGAGCGGTAAGCAGTACACGAGCGCTTGCAAGCTGGCCCAGAGAGGCGCAAACCTGCCGCTCCTGCCTTCTGGCGGTTCGATGCGCAGTTTGTACCACACGGGATCCCAGATTGGCACCAACATGGGCAAGAGCCTGCGGCAGGCGGGCCGCCGCCATTCCGTCACCAGCGACTTGATGCAGCGGACTAATGCGTCGTCGCCCAGCGGACCATCCACCAGTGGTGCGTACATCCAGCTTGGTAGGAACAAGGTGCGGAAGGTCATCGGCGTGAAGAAGACACTAGTCAACCAGATGCAGGGCATGGTGCGCCACCCCGAGCCGGCGAAGAAGGTCGGACCCTACAAGATCTATGGCAAGACACGTCTGTTCTCTGCGGCGAGCAGCCTGCAGAGCAACTCTCCCGGACCGATCGCCCGGCGCTGGATGAGCAGTGAGCAGCAGGTGAAGCGCAAGCAGCTGCGCAATGTGGAGGACGACGAAGACAGCGAATCCCATACCTACAAAACGAGTCATCGGTACTCGGCTTCGCTTTCAGCCACTCAGCAACGATACCAGAGGTCCACCTACAACCAAACGGCTCTGAAAGCGGCCCTCGACATCAGCAGATCCATTCAAGATGAACTGATGGTCGTTGACTCCCAAGTCAAGGACATGCTCAACAGCAACCCGACCAGGCATAATGTGCCCGACAACTACAACGATCAGCCACGGCCGGCTAATACCGATCCCCTGCGCGGCTGGAACCGGCCCGGAAACCTTAAGCACTTGTCCGACATTGCAGTGGTTACAGAACCAGAGAAAGAAGATCGGAAACCGGCAGTCTCCGCCCGAACTCCTATGGATGAGCGTCTGGTGAAGCCACTTCGCCGCCGGATGTGTGTTGTGGGACGAGCCGTTCCCCTCCAGTTGGCTGAAGCCTCTGGCAGCAGTAAAGGAGACGAAAATCAATCCCTGGCCAAGACCAGTGTAGGTCTGAACCCAAACCTGGCGTTTGCCCAGTTGGGCGGAATGTACGACAAAACCAGAATGTCCAAATTGCGCAACGAGGCGCGTCCCACGATGCACAGGCAGGTGAAACCCCAGCCGTCAGACAACGACTTCGGTCTTATGGACGTGGCCCTGGCCAGGGCTGTTACGCCAGACATCACGGTGGCCAGTAGCCTCAAGGAGCCTCAAGTGAAGGAGGAGGTGCCCCCACCGCGGTCAGAGGCCACTGAGACCTACTCGCCCTACCGTCAGCCCAAGGCTGAAAAGGACTTTCTCCAGAAGATCATGTTCAGCGGACCGCGCACTAAACGTGAGGGAATGCCCCGCCTAGACGAACTGCACTACGAGCCTTCTATCGACCTGGATCCCATCCTGGGATCAGGTCAAATCAGCGCTTCACAACAGGTGATAAACAAGAAGTTTGCTGGCTACAGGCAGAGTCTGGGGGGGTTTAGGGATGCCGTCAAATTCCACCGGGCGTCTCGACAAGTGGTGGATCCAGTGGATCCAATTCCCCAACTATATTCAAAAGCCCTCACGGAGAAGCGCGAGCCGATATCCTCTGCGATGAGACGTGCTGGAGACGTTCCTAAACGCACTGAAAACGTTCGTGTTGCCACTCCCACGTTTGCTGGGCGTTGTCGTAGGCTGGAGAGGACCAAGGTAGAAGCGAAGCCGGAGAAGCAAGGTGACCAGGATCCGAAAAGTTTGCGAGCCTCCAAGTCGTACATGTCGGCCCCTCGAGGCGAAGGTTCCACCTCTAAACGAGTTGCGAAGCATACCTCTTTGGTATCGGTCCCCAGGGAGCAGTTGGCCCGAACGAAGCCGGTTGTAAGCTCTGGCATGCTCATTGGCGAGAGGCGGGGAGTAAAGCGTGCGGAAGGTCATTCGGTTGATGCCCAGGAAGACGACATAAAAATGCCTCGAACCTACTCCAAGGAGTCAGCGGTACAGCGCCTTGGCAAGCCCTATTCACGGTCGGATCGTGCCAACAACAGCTACTAGATTTGATAGTTCAGCTCAGCTCATTCCCAATTTTAGTCCAGTTTCGTTCAACAAAATTCTAATGGCCTAGCCCCGACTAATGGTATCGACGTTTATCACCACGTTGTACTACCCGGGTTTCAATGGGCGCCTCAAAATCGTTTCAAGTCATCCAAATTCCTACCTGATGTACAAGCTAATCCTGCCTCTACCGCAAGTCTCTGATACGAGCGGCGTTTATCAATCACAGCTAGAATCAGTGTAGTAATCAAGTACCTCATGCTTTGTATAATGTTTCGGACCTTGTGAGGCTACTAAATTGAAATTCACATAAAAACCCACTGTAGTTTTAAATGGTTATCGGGGGATTGGGTTTCTGTTGATGGAAAGTGCTGCCAAGTGTTGAAATCTCATGCCGAGTACTCTCATGCTACCAGCATTGTAAAATAAACATCGTTTTTTTGATCCTCTGAGTGTCACTTTTTAAATTGTGTTTTAGTGTCAGCGCCAAGCGAGCCATTTTCATTTGTAGTTTCAATTCAAAACAGACCAGAGACACAAACTAGCACAATCAACAATATAATGCACACAAACTTTGAAGCTAAACTCCCTCAAAAATAGTCACTCAATATATTTTTGAAATAAAAATTTTAGTTTGATTTGGAATTGATATTTTTAAAAATTATTATCTAGCCACTGTTATATGGTTTCTAATTTAAATCAAGAATACCCAAACTAACATACTCGAATCTCGTCAATCGTTCTCCAGGTGCTGTCCATGAGCACAGATGAATATCGCAAGACTTCACTCTTTGCCACCGGCTCCTTCGAGCTTGACTTCCCCATACCAGATCTGATTGGCAAGACAGAAATTCTCACAGAAGAGCATCGGTAAGTTGAATCTACTTAGTGCTCAATCACTTGGTTTTTAATAAACTTATTCTATTTGTAGCGAGAAGCTCTGCTCACATCTGCCAGCTAGGGCCGAGGGCTACTCCTGGTCGCTGATCTTCAGTACCTCACAACATGGTTTCGCACTGAACTCTCTGTACCGCAAAATGGCGCGTCTGGAGAGTCCAGTTCTAATTGTCATCGAGGACACAGAGCACAATGTAAGTTATCTTATATCTTGCAAAAAGTTAGCATAAAATAAAATATTTTTATTTTCTTCAGGTATTTGGTGCTCTGACCTCTTGCTCGCTGCACGTTTCCGACCACTTTTACGGAACCGGCGAGTCCCTGCTCTACAAATTCAACCCCAGCTTCAAAGTGTTCCATTGGACTGGCGAGAACATGTACTTCATCAAGGGCAACATGGAGTCCCTTTCGATTGGCGCTGGAGAGTAAGTGCAAATTTGCTATTAATATCATTGGCCAATATCTAACTTGTTTTGATTTTTCCAGTGGTCGCTTTGGCCTGTGGCTGGATGGTGATCTGAACCAGGGACGATCGCAACATTGCAGCACATACGGCAATGAGCCACTGGCGCCACAAGAAGACTTTGTTATCAAAACACTCGAATGCTGGGCATTTGTTTAAGTGAATTTCTGTTGTCAACAACAAGCATATTTAATGGGGGGAGCGCAGGCCTCCCGCCCAACTACCTATTTAATTAATTATATGTACTTGTACTAAAAACCAACAACCTGAGAAGATGTCAAAAGCTGATGTGTGTCTAAAGCGCCATCCCCATCCCCACACCCACACGCCGATACACTGCATGGCGGACGCCCCGCGGAAGGAGGAATGGCCTACACTGATCTGAGGAGGAATGCTTAAGCGTTGGAACGTATTCATTATTTAGTTTTTATATTATATATTATTAAAAATGAGTAACTAAATTATGTGTTAGGTTAAAGCCACAGCAGCGAAAAAAAATGTATGAGAAAACGACACGGAAATTAAAGCGAAAACAATTGGAGATAGCATTAGGTGCACACGCCCACCCATTCAGAGGTCATCACACATCAACATGCATTGTAGAACACACCCACTCACACACACAAACAAACACACACACATACATACACATATTAGTTAAGTTCTTATCGAGAAAAGAAAAAATATAACCATCAAATTGTGAGAAATAACATATAGAAGAAAAGAATGCGAGTTTGAAATTTTTGATAATTTTGATGTGCCTAGTTCCCTCGATTGACTAAAGTTTGAATTTAATTTGATTTTTTTTTTAGTTTCTCTGTCAAGAGGGGCACTGTGCAAATAGGCCAAGGAAACGATCTGAAAAGTTGAGATGAAAATATAAAAAGAATGTCGATATAATTTTTAGTGCAAAAGTGTAAACATTTCAATGCTGATTGCAAGTGAAACTGAAAGCGATAACTCTTACGATTTGACTTTTATATAAATATAGAGAATGAGAAGCAGATAGCGAGCGATAGCGATTTATTTTTTAGTTGTACACGAAATACATAATTATGATTACTTTAATGCTAATGATGTTGATTTTTATGCAATTATACTAAAACGAAAAACAGAAGCAACACCAGATTGAAATACACAATAATATTATACAACAAAACTGGCCAAAAACAGAGGTTTTACTTCACATCCGAAACATCCGATGCGGTCGCCCCCATAGGTGTGCTATACTTTTATAAATGCCCCCGAGCAGGACCCAAGCGGGATTTGTAGTTGTAAGTTTTCCCCCCCAACAGATCTATCAGTGACACACCCTAGTGAATTATTATTATGGCAGCCGGATCCAGTAGAGAGCTGCTGTTGGTTGAACAGGTTTTGAGAAACCAACAAACTTAAATGGCTTTATATCCCTTTTGAGATACAATTTCAGTATAATTATAAATAAATATGTATACACGTACGCTATATTATATAAATGTACAATGGTAACAAAACAAAAAAACGAATATAGGTAAAAGTAAGTGTAATTTTTGTAGTGTATTTGCGGCCCCAAAACCGAACCTAAGCCCCTAATCCTAAAACCCAGTCGATGTGAACTGTTAACGTTGTGTATCAACCTCCCAACAAAATCTAATTGCGAATGGAGCCAAGACAGAAACATATTCTAAATATTCAGACACACAAGATTCTGGAAGACATATTTGAGAAAACAAACGAAACAAAATTGCTGATATTTTACACTGAACGAAGTTCGAAAACCACTAACAAAAGGGTTAATATATATAGACATTTCATTTCATCAGAGTTGAAAATTTTACTTAAATATTAAAAGAAATCACGAGCAACGCACACAAGAGAATCCGAAACCAAACAAAATTGTGAATCCAAAGAGGGAGGAGAAGTTGTATTGATAATCCAAATGCAAATCCAAGAACCTAAACCTAAACCGAAACCGAAACCGAAACCCAATCCTTTTTAGTACGCAACTATTTAGAGAAATTTAGCTGACTATTTGCACGCACCCCTCCCCACAGCTCCTAAAATATGGAAATATACACTTAGAGAAAAATTACGGTGACTAAAGCTAGTGAAGATGTTTTTGATGTTATTTAAAAAAAAAAAGAATCTTGTCGGATTTTTGTGCAGTTGTGTGTAAGTTGATATGCATGCCTAACCGATTATAAATCCGCTTTTCCCACTCAATGATCCCAGTGGAATGAGAATCATATTGAAATAATCCTGTTGTATCGCGGAAACGGAAGACTTTCTTTTTAGGATTTTAGAGAAACCAAACCGGAAATTGGACGACAGGCTTGTTTACTGAGCAAATTATTAAAACTATTATAGCCAATAACTGATAGAACGATTAGCTTAAAACTCACTCCAACTTTGCGCGAACTTCATTTAAACAAAATCTTGAGACCAAAATGCGTTTACTAAGAAATATAAACTACATACCAGATAACTCCCCTATGTGGCTATCGTTCTGGCCGATGAGAGTACCATTAAATATTAATATTTATACCAAATATTAGTTCGTTGACAAGAAGTCAATTACGTCTCCACACGTTCACACACCCATTACACACAATCCAAAAGGTATAATGGATTATAAGAAAAATTCAAGAAGTATTCGTTTTGGTAGCTTATGGAACTATGTTGTTAAATTCGTAGACATTTTGTTGTGCGTTGAACAAATAAAAAAAAAGTAATACAAAAAATTACAAAAAAAAAGGCATAAGAAAAGGAAATTAATGAAGATAATTTTAAATTGTAACTTCTGTCAATTAAATTGTAGACTGGTGCATATACCAAGCGAAAACTGAATAACAAATGCCGCATATAATGTTGTTGCAGCAGAATATTGTTACAGCCAAGATACTGATTTGTTAGGAAAATCAGGTTGAAGCCGATAGTTCTGCTCTTATTGAGTTTTTGTTGTGCGTTAAATCAAGTGCTTAGTATTTGTGTAATAGCCATATGTATATCATAGCTAAAGCGGCCAGTTAATTAGTGTGAAATTATCCCCAACCTAGTGCGAGTACTTTTTCCACTCAGTGTCTGCATTTCCAGCCAGTGCTTTGCCCATTTATCGTGTTGAGTAGTTTGCAAATGTTTCTAGTTGTCGTGCACCGAATATTAAGCAAATGTAAATCGCACAATTCGAGGCAGATATTCAGGATATTAGGGGACTACGCCAGATATTCAACAAATACCACACATAGGGATATATGTAGGTTGGCGATTGTCGGGAGTCGAATGAGCAACTCCCACGAATAACTCACTTGCCGTTTATTCAGTTACCCCTTATAGAATGCAGATTGTATTGTAGATCCGAACGATTGTATAAAATCCACTTAGAACAGAGCATACAACATAGCTATACAAAAAGGGATTTGATGATGGGGCAGAAAGGGGTTATACAAAGTGGTTATAGAAAGATCGAGCAGAGATTCTGACAAGAAGGTAGCAAGGAGTTTATTTTTCTACCAACAGATTGCAAGCAATGAAAAAAGTTGAATATTCAGATACAGATACCCTAAGTCGTGTGTAAATACGAAATATATATCAACCTACATGCATACACATATATATATATATTTTTGGAAAGCAAATCAAGTGTATCTAAATGAGCCATGGTTGTTTGGTTTTAACGGAATGCATTCGCTGTTTTCACATATTTTAAATAAATACATATAGAGATATCGTCTAATTCATATGTGCAACTTGTATCGTACCTACAATATTGCATTCCAACAAAAGCGAAACAACTAAACCATTCTAAAACACATCGCATGAGCAGAGCAGCATGAGAATATATATATACACACATATATATATAAATATATACTATATGTAAATGTAAAGTCATTAAAAAATGAACAACTTTTCTGAAAAATAAAATGTATATTCAAATATGAAAAAAATATCTTCTATTGTGGGAGGTATATTGGGACTTTGTATATGAATGCCTAAAAGCAGGCAACAAAAATTGCTTCTCATAATGTAAAAACTTTTTTACTTTTTTTTTACTACCAACAAGAACTGGTAAAAGTTAACACCGAGATCTCCCAGAAATTGATGGAGATTGCAGATTGGTGAAGAATCTATCTAGAAATCGTTGAAGGTACTCTGCTTAAGGATTGAACAACTGTAGCCAGAGATATGAGCTTCGCAGTGGCACAAAATGACTCTCCAAAGCAAACTCCCCATTTTGAAAGGGACCCTCCAGGAAATTTTACAAAAAATCTTACAAATATTTTGTTTCTAGATTTTGATGCAGATTGGTGGAGAATCTATCTAGAAATCGTTTAAGGTACTCCGCTTAAGGATCGGACAACTGTAGCCAGAGATATGAGCTCCGCGGTAGGACAAAATGGCCCTCCAAAGAAAACTCCCCATTTTGAAGGGGATCCTCCAGAAAATTTCACAAAAAATCTAAAAAATATTTTCCTTTTAGATTTTGATGCAGATTGATGGAGAATCTATCTAGAAATCGTTTATGGTACTCCGCTTAAGGATCGGACAACTGTAGCCAGAGATATGAGCTTCGCAATGGGACAAAATGACTCTCCAAAGCAAACTCCCCATTTTGAAGGGGACCCTCCAGAAAATTTCACAAAAAATCTAAAAAATATTTTGTTTCTAGATTTTGATGCAGATTGGTGGAGAATCTATCTAGAAATCGTTTAAGGTACTCCGCTTAAGGATCGGACAACTGTAGCCAGAGATATGAGCTTCGAGGTGGGACATATTGTCCTTCCCAAGCCATCTCCCCCTTTTGAAGGGGACCCTCCAGAAAATTTCACAAAAAATCTTACAAATATTTTGTTTCTAGATTTTGATGCAAATTGGTGGAGAATCTATCTAGAAATCGTTTAAAGTACTCCGCTTAAGAATCGGACAAATGTAGCCAGAGATATGAGCTCCACGGTAGGACAAAATGGCCCTCCAAAGAAAACTCCCCATTTTGAAGGGGATCCTCCAGAAAATTTCACAAAAAATCTAAAAAATATTTTCCTTTTAGATTTTGATGCAGATTGATGGAGAATCTATCTAGAAATCGTTTATGGTACTCCGCTTAAGGATCGGACAACTGTAGCCAGAGATATGAGCTTCGCAATGGGACAAAATGACTCTCCAAAGCAAACTCCCCATTTTGAAGGGGACCCTCCAGAAAATTTCACAAAAAATCTAAAAAATATTTTGTTTCTAGATTTTGATGCAGATTGGTGGAGAATCTATCTAGAAATCGTTTAAGGTACTCCGCTTAAGGATCGGACAACTACAGCCAGAGATATGGGCTTCGCGGTGGGACATATTGACCTTCCCAAGCCATCTCTCCATTTTGAAGGGGATCCTCCAGAAAATTTCACAAAAAATCTTACAAATATTTTGTTTCTAGATTTTGATGCAGATTGGTGGAGAATCTATCTAGAAATCGTTTAAGGTAATCCACTTAAGGATCGGACAACTACAGCCAGGGATATGGGCTTCGCGGTGGGACATATAGACCTTCCCAAGCCATCTCTCCATTTTGAAGGGGACCCTCCAGAAAATTTCACTAAAAATCTTAAAAATATTTTGTCTTTAGATTTTGATGCAGATTGGTGGAGAATCAATCTAGAAATCGTTTAAGGTAATCCACTTAAGGATCGGACAACTACAGCCAGGGATATGGGCTTCGCGGTGGGACATATAGATCTTCCCAAGCCATCTCTCCATTTTGAAGGGGACCCTCCAGAAAATTTCACTAAAAATCTTAAAAATATTTTGTCTTTAGATTTTGATGCAGATTGGTGGAGAATCAATCTAGAAATCGTTTAAGGTACTCCGCTTAAGGATCGGACAACTACAGCCAGAGATATGGGCTTCGAGGTGGGACATATTGACCTTCCCAAGCCATCTCTCCACTTTGAAGGGGACCCTCCAGAAAATTTCACTAAAAATCTTAAAAATATTTTGTCTTTAGATTTTGATGCAGATTGGTGGAGAATCAATCTAGAAATCGTTTAAGGTAATCCGCTTAAGGATCGGACAACTACAGCCAGAGATATGGGCTTCTCGGTGGGACATATTGACCTTCCCAAGCCATCTCTCCACTTTGAAAAATTATTTTGTTTTTAGATTTTGATGCAGATTGGTGGAGAATCAATCTAGAAATCGTTTATGGTACTCCGCTCAAGGATCGGACAACTGTAGGCAGAGATATGAGCTTCGCAATGGGACATATTGACCTTCCCAAGCCATTACCCCATTTCGAAGGGTATCCTCCAGAAAATTTTACAAAAAATCTACAAAATATTTTGCTTTTAGATTTTAATTCAGATTGGTGGAGATTCATTGTAGAAATCTTTAAGGGGGGTAGCGACATATGTATCTCCGCCGAACTAAAAACGAAGAGATACATATGTCGTACGTCGTATCTTGGCCGTTTTATTGGCGACGCAATTTAATTACATTTAAATTAAATTAAAATAAAATACTGATATACGTTCTGTTTTCGCCTCTTGTTGTTTATTACTCTATGATATTAATTCTTAATATGGTCACAACAGTTGGCAGCACTGATGACTACCCACGAGTGGGAAAGCTCCAAAATTGCAAAATTCTTTGTTTCCCATCATTCGCAAGTATGTTAAGTACACTTTTAAAAAATTTGGGGAATTAAAAATGATATATATACATATATGTACACATGTATATATGAATATATATATATATATATATATATATATGTATACCCATTTGGACTGTATTATGTTCATAATTTAAAATAATAGAATGTGTTAAAATATATTTTAAAATTTTTTGTATTTCAGTGTAAGAGAAATAACTATTAATCTTGTTAATGCAATCACTTGATTTCGAAAGTTTAATAAGCACACTTGTCGGTAATTTAAAATTCGAGTAAAATGAATTTGGACGATATTGAATTTGAGTTTAGGGAAGGTAGCCGTGCAGGTTGCTCTTAAGTTTTATATACACCCAGTGACCAACAAATTTATTTAAAAAATAAACAATTAAAATCGAATGCCATCGCATATACGTGCCGGGTAAAAGATTGTAAAGCACGTGTTTATTTAAGTGCAGATAAGGCTCGCGTTTTTTCCAAGCCTGAGAATATAAGGCATATTCATGGACCACAAGGGCAGGAAATGGAAAGAATCAATATGCTTTCGGAAATAAAAAAGAAGTGTCAAACTAGTTCCGACGCCACCAAAAAAATATTTAATGATGTTCTCGCGAGGTAAGTACTCATACATGTACGCATCATCCATGAATTGTATATATATATATATGATTATATATAATCAAAAACATGACGGTGTGTATGTTAACTGTGTGTATTATGCAGAAATTGATAAAAATATTTGAATTTAATTTTTATACCCTTGTAGAGGGTATTATAATTTTGTTCAAAAGTGTGCAACGCAGTGAACGAGACGTCTTTCATTTCTTTTTTTTTGTTTCGTTTTATAATAATTTAGACAAACAAATGGAGAAGAGGTAATTGATATCAGTTATGATAAGGTCAAACGCACTCTTCAAAGAAAAAGACATCCCATTCTTCCAAAATCGCCAATTACTCCAGAGGATATGCGCGATGCATTTAATGATGAAAATGTCATAAGTCGTTTTGGAATGACAAAAGGAAACCTGCCCAAAGTGTTTTTCAAAAAATTATATGCATCAAGTTTATTTTCCTACTGTATATTCGCGTCTGACAAGATCATCACATTGCTGCAGGCCAATATTGAGGAGCAGAATAGGCCACATTTAAAGTTTGCCCTTTCGGGGACTTTAGGCAACTGCTTATTATTTATATTAAACACATGCATAAGGTGATTATTTTATTGTTTACTTCAATTCATATTTTATTTGAACTTATTTTTTTATTTTTTAGATAACACCTTTTCTATTTGTTTTGATGACGCGTAAAACGGAGCTCTGCTTCCAACACCTATTTACGTATGTTGACTCTAGCATTTGCTGTCTTAATGGTGCATCGTTCATTTCCGACTGTGAGAAGGCGTTGCGGAACGCTTTAAAAAATGTTTCTCCAAATGGGAATTTCTATTCTTGCTGGTTCCATTTTACCCAAGCGTGTAAAATATATGCAAGCAAAATTATCGGCTTGGAGGAAATGCTATTGTCTAATAAACATGCGTATATACTGTTTATGAAGATTTTACATTTACCTCTGCTACCGGAAAACAAGATTGTAGAAGCGTTTAATCTTCTTGATCTTCTTCTCGTGTTTTCGCCCTTTTTAAAATATTTCAGGAAGCAGTGGCTTAAAAAGGTACCTATTTCATCATTTCAAATGTATGCTCTAATTTATTAATCTTTTAATTTCAATAGGAGGGACCTGAAAACATATCGTTATAAAAACGATCAACAAGAACCACGATCGCTTTTGAAGCGTTTAATTTAAATCTGGGAAAGAAGATTCGAACAAATGCACACTTTTTTAAATTTGTTGAATGCATAATTGATGTAGAGTTTGAAAAAAGTCAAGAATTTGCTATTCTTTTTCAAAATGGTGAAGTAGCTAATTCAACACAACTCAAACGTGTAAGTATATACGAAATTTAATTAAAGCCATTAAAATATAATAACAGTACGTTTTAATTTCAGGATCGCGCTCAAAAAATTATGAAGGCAACGGATCTATTTGAGAAGGGAGAAATCGACATTCAGGGTTTTCTGACACGTACGGTTTCCCTAAATGACCGCTTTAAAAAACAGGACCTATTCGACAGTGTAAATTTAGATTGTAGCTTATCGGAAATGTCATCTGATCTATCGGGATCAGCATCTTCGCTTTCGTCGAGTGACTCTAGCACAAGTCAAGTATCTGATTCGACTAAAATTCAAATGAATCCCTGCAATGTGTGTCGGATACAACCAAAATCGGTTTTGTTGCGCCCATGTAACCACGTAAATATTTGTGAAACATGTTGGGATCAAATTCTGGCAATTAATCAAGAACAGAACAACATCCATGAACCAAAATGTCCAACGTGTCAACAAAATGTTAATGAAGCAATTCGTAATGTTTATATATATAGTTAAAAAATAAATAAATAAAAAATACACACATATGTGTGTAATTTGTTATTTTTTATATTATACATAATAAAAATTAAACTTGGGGGAAACTGCGTTTTTGAAAGGATTGATTATATTATCGTTAATATCGTTTGAAAACGACATAGCTTCGCCAAAAAAACTTTTGAATAAAAATTTTGTTTATAGAAATTTTGTTTGGCTGTTGGACTCTCCACAGGCGGTCCTCCAACTCAACGCTACAAGCTTTCTAAAAAGAATCCTCCCGAGCCGCTCCAATAGTCCTCCTTTTATACCCTCTGGAGCGCCCGTTAATCCTCCTGGATTCTGCTCCACATATCTCGCCACTTTCCCGTTGTCGGGCTGCCGTTACTCCTGCTTCCAATCTCACGCCACTTTCCCGCTGGCAGGTGGCCGTTCGTGTGGCCGTCAGTGTTGCCAGGTATTAAGCTCGCGAGATTTTGGGTAAAAATAGGCTAGAATAGGCTAAAATTCAGAAAAATATCTGAAAAATAAGCTATATATTCAAATCTAATAATATCTACCACATTAAAGTAATTTTCATGTTTTTATTATATTAAACACGTTAACAAACTTTCAATATCGTCGTTCTCCCCGTCATTCAAAAAGCCTCCCCGTCAGGCTATTTACAAATTTTATAGGCCTGAGGCCTGATGTCGCCTGAAATAGGCTAAAATGGCAACACTGGCTGTATGGTTAGGGGTTCCACGTTGACTCCATCTTCCCACTCGATGATGGAGCTCTGCCCCTCACCGCCCTCACTGCTTTTCCATTCGTCCACTGGGGCTCCGGGAACCGTTACGTTCCACGTTGATTCCGTCTTCCCACTGGGCGATGAAACCTTGCCTTTCCATTCGTCTGCTGCTGCTCCGGGCACCGTTCTGTTCCACGTTGATTCCGTCTTTGCACTCGATGGTGGAACCCTGCCCCTCCTCGGCCCTTTTTGGGAAACATGTTGGGATAAAATTCTGGAAATTAATCAAGAACAGAACAACATCCATGATCCAAAATATCCAACGGATCCATGATCCAATAAATACCAAATACCCAAGAAAAGAATGTATTTCGGTTGCTCAGGCTTTCATTTAATAGAAAAATATACATACATAAATATGTATAAATATGTAGATATGCCATTAATGTATAAATTTAATAATTTATAAATAACAAGAGAACAGATTTCTGATAGACATGTATTTCGCTTGTTATAAGATGTAAACGATATCAAAAAGAGTTCTAACTAGATGCATGAGAGTCGACTAATTGAGTGGGCACCCCAACGATCGCACGATTGCGTTGGGGCATTAATTTTGAGATAGGATGTGTTTGGCGTCGCGACTGTTGCTGTTCTTATTGAAGCTGGGTGACTGCTCTTCCGGCAGCCGGATAATACTTTGGCAGCCAAAACTATGAATGAACTAGGAAACGTTTCTTTCCTGACAAAGTTGCAACAAACTAAAATTAATAAACAATCAACTTGGACGCTGACAAGGCAGTAAGCTAACGGTTAATGCGAGAATAACTAAGGATACGACTTAGAGACTACAACTAGAAGGCTTAGCGACTAAAGGAGCTTTGATTCACTTTTGCGATTCGGGCCGGAACCCCTCGGTTATAAATAGTTTTTAACTAGATTTTTACATTGTGTGTGTTTGGTTGGGAATAATTTACACATTTTTGGTTGCCGTTCGCTGTCTTCCCAGCACGGGTTACGTGCATATCTCACTGTTTGCGGCGCAGGATTGGCTCGACACGTTTGCATTCATGGCTCCCGTGCCCGTGGACATGCTGGCCGGCAAGCTGGAGGAAGGCGGCGCTGAGGCAGCTGCTGGGGGCGCGGGTGGTGTGGTTGTGGAGTCGGGCTCGGCTTGCTGGGCCTGGCTCTGGGCTGCCACATTGTTCGTCTTGCTGTTCTCCAGCTTCGCCCGGTTGAGGGCCTCCTCGCGCTCCTTGGCGTCGAAGTACCAAACAGTGATGGCGTAGCGGGTGCGGTGAGCGGGCTGTACTTCGTGCGGGTTGCGTTTGTCCGACCAGAAGAATATCAGCCGGTCGAATTTCGGTTCAATATCCGCCACAGTTGTTCCAGGCGTGGGACGAATTCTGTTGGGAGTTAATTTCACATTTAGTTTTTTTTTCAAGTGTTTTGTTTATGTAAACCTACCGCAGGATGCCGCCGCTCTCCCGCGCGTCCCAGTTTATGTTCAGGTAATAGATGGCCGTTATGACGCGGCCATCTTTGTTGGGATTGTCCACGTGCATGACGTAATGAGTGCCGGAGCCGGGATAGCAAGCCACCATCGCCTGGGGAGTTGGGAACATCTGTTAGGACAATTCTAATGGGATATATCTTAGCTGTGCTTACCCTCGTGCGCTCCCTGATGTGGTACTGGCCGAGAATGCCATTGTCCTTCATTGTGTTCACCCGATACACCACAGAGTCGATCTGAAAACGAAAGAATCTTAGAGTCTGTCCTTGCTGAGGATGTCCAGTCCCTTACCTGATTGGTGAGATACCAGATGTTGCTGCAGCCCGGCTCATTGCCGCCGACCCACTTTATTTTGTCGCCTCGAATCTTGTCCCCGCGCACCGCTATGGAGGGAGCATCGGGCTTTTGGTTGTGCACCAGCCCGTCCTGAAAGGCCCCGGCGTTGTACATGCTGCCGACCTCGTTGAGGATCTTCAGGCCCGTCTCCATGCCCAGGAAGTCGTCCACCACCGACAGGCCGTACTGGTTCATGTCGCTGATGATGTTTCGGCAGAGGTCCTCATAGCGTCGTTCACTGCGGAGAAGAAACAAAACACAATCTTTGATTACAAGAGGCAGTGGCGATTCACTTATATTTAGGAGACCTTTCAAGGCCGTAGATCTCTAATCGATATGAAGATGCCTATGTGTGTGAGGTCACCTTGGGGGAACCCCTGCGGTCTGGTCTGTGCATCTAGACAGCGGACCGGCTACTTAGCACCTCCCCTCGCTATTTTTAGTGCAAAATATTCATTACATTTAAGCGCTTTTTATGGGCCTTAGAACAAACAGTATTGCGATGCATACAAGTTTTACGACTTTTTTATGATGCGCCCATAAAACCAATATTTTCATACAAGTCGTCGGATCTCAGTCACGTAGGCCACCCAGAATAGAACAGAACTGGCCCACTCAGACGATCGCGAGTTTCTGGATAAGCAAAGTCGCAAATAAAGCAAGAATGTGCATTTTCCCACCACAGTTCAGCGACAATATAATAAACGTGAATTTATTGCCGCAAAATTAAAAAATATATTTCAAAAACGTGTGCCACGGCCGGGACGACAGGCACAGCTACTGCCAATATCGTACAGCTTATAGACCATTGGCGGAAAGTCCAGTTTTGTTTTACCAATTAATTACTATAGAGATTCAAATTCGCGAACTAGCCGGAGATCGACACCACCAGAGACCGCGCCATTGAAGACCGCAAACCATAACTTTCAACCGGTTTTAATATTTTGGCATTCATAACCCACGAAAACTGATAATTATCACTGAATAATCAGTGCAGAAATTGATAGGGAGAAAATAGTTGAGGTTCTTTGTGAAATTTGTAAATAGTATCCTCTTATAATCCTTTAGTTTTGTTTTATTTACCGATGATCCAATAGTTCCCGGAAGTACTGCTCGGCATTGGCAGGATGTGCCGAGTGCTTGAAGAAGTTCTTGTAATCCGTGGTAGTGGAGGTTATCATTTTGCCTTGAAGGTTCAGTTTAAGATCGAGTACTTCACTATCACTATCCTTATAATAAGGGTTATAAACTGTTTTTCTTTTTTTTTTAGCTTAGAAGAGTTCTCAGAGCTACTTCCCGAACAATTCACGCACTAATGAAGAAAGTTGGAAAAGGTCTGCGAGTTTTATTCGATCGTTAGAGGTAGGGAGAGCGAGAGAGGAGGCAGCGGCAGAGCACCGGTTTGTGTACGTGTGTAGGGCGCCAAGGGGTTGTCTGTGTGTGTGTGGGCAGGTAGGGCAGGTATGAATAATTGCCGATTGCATTTACACTTCACTGGCCAGCTGTTGGAATTGCTTTTGTTTTTCTTTGCTTGTTTTGGCTTCAACCGTTACACTGGCAGATGTTTGTTTTGATTTGCGTTTTGTTTTTGTCACAACCGTTAGTCACGTTTGTTTATCGTTCTGGCTGCTTTTGAGTAAATAGAGGCAGCGCTGCTGCAGTCACGAACCGCACTCGTCAAAGTCAGTTTGCCGAATGGTTGGAGGGCAGGCCCAGTCAGTCCCATAGAGGCCCATCACTGATAGCGCAGAGAGAGAGAGCGAGAGAGAGGTGTTTGAGAGCGGGCCAGAGAGGAGCTAGCTGGTTTGGAGCTAAATAAACTAACTTGGCTAACACGGTTAATATTAATATTAAATGTTAATATAAACTTTTAGTTTAGTTAATAACTAAATTTCCAATAAAAACCAAACAAGCTAAATCTAGCCATTTTCTAAACAAAGAGAGAGAGAGTCGGATAGTTTGGAGGCCTGGAAAGCGGCAGAAGAAGACAAGGAATTAGCCTGATAAGCAGCCCCCGTAAGTGTGAGTAAATAATCAAAAAAAAAAAAGAAAAAAGAAAAGGTAAAAGGAAATATAAGACGCAACAAGCTGATAAGAAGAAACCGCGCTGGACGTGCAAATTGGGGGGACGACAGCAATCGCAGACTTGAATACTGACAGGCGTCGCGTTTCGGCTTATCAGCTGACATTCTGCGACGAGCCAGAAGCGGCAGATCCTTCCGATTGCCCTTCAGGGGAGTTTAAACACACGCCCAGCGCAAACACACGCCAAACACAAAGCAAAGGCAAACACAAAGCCAGGCAAAGACAGAAAAGACAGGCGCAACAATCGTCACGTAGCCCAGCACACACACACAGCCACACTTGGTCGCTCTCGCACTTACACGCACACGCACCGAGGGGTGTTAGATGGAGACTGAAGGGAGACCGATGGGTAGATGGGGAAGGAGGAGGAGGGTCTGCAGTATTTTTGTAGAATTGTTTGAAAGAATTGCCAAGAACGAAGAACGAAGACCGAAGATGGGGCATGTGGAACGTCAAACACACGCGGAAGCAGAGCGAGCGAGTGGACGGCCTGGGAAACTGGGTCAACGTCCTAGTTCAAAGTCGGTTCGAGACAGTCATGCCCACACGAAAGCACTTAGATACACTGAGGATATTATTTTAATAATATTGTTTCAAATATATATGAAGAGAATATTAAAATATATATCTTTTAATATCTGATATTTTATTTAAAGAAATTACATCTTAAAACCTTAATAGGCTTAATATTTTAGCAGGTTTTGCTAGTTTTATAATAATGTACAATAGTTCTCTCAGTGTATGTCAGTTAAACCCTAAAAGCAGGATCTTAGTCATGTTGGTTTGTCTTTAATAACCTTTCTTTCTAATACTTGCACTAACTTAAAATAATTTAATATTTATAATTAAATAATCTAAATAACTTCTCTCAGTGTACTGAATATAGTGATCAATTTTGGCCATTTTCTGGTGATTTAGGTTCTAAAAAGTGTATTACGTGCGGCAATAGCAACTGCGGCACGTGTACCACACGAAACCCCCAGCCCTCCAGCCGGTTCAAGGGAGTTTGAGGGCCCGAAAGGGAGGCGTGGCAGCGCACACGCACTGAGGCAGCGCCAGACGACCTTGATGACGTGCGTCTGCCTACGTAGCTGGTATATGGTATGGGTATGGGTATGGTTTGCTGTGGGGTTCGAGATCTATCGTGGGATACAACCATGCTACCGGCATCTAAAATAATCCAAAAGAGGAATTTAGGTTCTTGGAATCTATTTTAAAGAAACTATTAACTAAAAATATGTATTAACTATTGCTAATACTAACTAGTTCTTCTAACTAGTGGTACTATTTCTTACGAAATTCAAATGGAAAATAGTTCCTATTTCCGCTCGTCACTTGAATTAATGACTTCCAGCAAGTTCTGCATAAATAGACATTCCTCAGGGCGACTAAAGCCACACTTCCAAGAGCTATTCCAATGCATTTCCAAGCAAACTAGAACTGGAATATTGACCTTTCTTATCAGAAGCGACCTTGGCCATCGCCGGATAAATGCGGCTTTTAAGCCAACAGTTTTTTGCGCAATGATATTTATTTGTTTAAGCCGCTTAGTTTCTGGCTAATATGACAGTCTAGCAAATATGCCTATTTAGCACATTTATGAACAAAGTCGGGAATTTGCAAGCCTTTTGGAGAAATGAGATCACGTCGGACACGCCGCTAATTGTTTAATAAAGACAAACACACATCTCCCAGATAGAAGCCAGCGCTCCTCCTGATAACACCACGCGAGTCAAACCACTCGCTTACGTACTCCGAGCACGTACGCAAAACGCTCCGGACCACCCAGGGTAGTGGAACACCCACCCTCGGACCGATAAGAACCATTGGTGGAGAATCGAATCGAATAGTGTCGATGATTCAGCCGAGGAATCAGTTGCGAAAGAGCCACCTCCATACATACCTACATGGTGTGTGTATTTTTGCAAGCCAACAGATTGTATATTGTATCTGTTAGTAAGGCAACAAAAAAAAATATAAATAAATAAGCGAGTATCAACAATTCGGACGGCAGTGAACTGCGCAACAGAATAATTACAAAGTCAGCGCCATCCGAACCGAATGCAGGTGCTATATGGCTCGCGCCGCCATATGCATTGGCTTGCCGGGCACGTAATGCCAAAGGTAGGCATCTCTCTCCCAGGAGTGCTGGTCCGATCCGGAGCAATCTAATCGGAGGCAAGCCCACACGTACGTGCAATCAGCTGGCAAGGCAGCAGGTAAAGATACAAGATACAAATCTCAGAGATGGCTAGAAAGTCACTAATCCTAACCCTAAGAATACCCTCAAGGTCTTTACCCAAATACCAACTATAGTTAGTTCTTTAGATCGAATCAATCATAAACTTTAATCTTGATTCTATATGACACTTCTATGGCTGGTGGAGTCATCATCGCTTCGTGCCGTTTCAGCCAAGTGGGCACGTAACCGCTTATCGGTAATTGGCTCGCCATGCAAGTGGGGCCTACGGCTGAGGGAATGCACAAGAAGAGGCCTAATCTGAGCCGACTCACTAGTGCTTACTCGCCAGATGTTGGCGTGAAATGAAATATTATCTCAGCAGAGTAGGAGGGGGCCTTTGTTTAGGAATCTCGTAAACGGAATAGAGACAAATGTCAGTTGCCAATATCCAAATTATGTTCGATAGAAAGGAGATCCTGAAAACAAAAGCAACAGAACACACAGAACGTCTCCCCGCCAAGCGACCAAGGTGGCCAAAGGATCCTGTACCTCAGGATCGTTCTAGAGTAGCGGACTAAAGTGATTATGGAATACAATCGCCAGCCATGTCCGATCAGGATTGTTGAGGATTGCGGTTGTGCCTTTATGATGGGATCGATTGGAGGGTCGTTGTTCCAGTACCTCAAGGGCTTCCGGAACTCCCCGTCCGGCTTGGTGCGCGGCCTCTACGGCGGCCTCGATTCGGTCAAGATGCGAACCCCCGCCATCGCCGGCAGCTTCGCCGTCTGGGGCGCCACCTTCAGCAGTGTAGACTGCGCCATGGTCCACTACCGCCAGCGCGAGGACTCCTGGAACTCGATTGTAAGTGGCGCGGCCACGGGCGGCATTTTGGCGGCCCGCAATGGGGTCCGGGCCATGGCCAATAGTGCCTTTGTGGGGTGCCTAGTTCTGGCCATGATCGAGGGAGCTGGAGCCGCAGTGGCCACCATCTATGCCGCCGATGGGCAAGCACAGGCCACGGTGGAAAGCGAGTCCCAGCCACAGCGACCGCAGTGGGAGGTGGCCACCATTTCGGCCGTGGATCAGATCAAGGGGCCGGAAGAGGCCGTGGCGGAGTTCGAACGGGTGCTGGACAAGTGTCGGGCTTATAGGGACCGGAGTATCAACCTGCAGAGCCTCAAGCCGAAGGGCAGGAAGCGGGCGAGGATGGAGCAGCCATCGCACTCGCTGGTCGAACTCGTCCGACTGGCCGATGCCTTCTGACCCTGATCTTGAGCCTCATCTTTTGTTGGCGTGGTGTGCTCCCTTTTCCAAATTCAGGGAATGTGTTTTGGTGTTGAGCCGCGATCCTCACCGTTCAACTGTTGAAGGTATCTTAACCATTCCGTTGTTACCAATCGTTTAGGATGAAATGTAGTATAAAATTTTAATTTAAAAATAACGAAAATCTTAAGAGTAATAGCCCGATCTCTAACTCACCTTCCCGATCCCATGAAGCTGGAATCCGCCAGCCCGATTTGGTAGCTGGAACTCTTCTCTCCATGGTGGCTATGGTGCTGGTGCTGCTGCTGCTTGTGGCCATCGCCTGCCTGGGCCTGACTCGGTTGGCCCAGTAGATTCAGGATATTGTCCACCTCCGCCGGCCAGCTCTGGGCCTGATGGGCGGGTGTCATCATCTGAGCAGTGGAGCAATTGGCGCCAGCGCCACTCACACTGCCACTGCCCTCCAAGGTGGTTGCCGCCACGGCTTGTTGCAGTTGCTGGAGCTGCTGTTGCTGTTGCTGCATCGGTGGCTTGTTGTTGTTGCTGGCGGCCCGCTGCCGGGCCAGCAGGCGGCAGTCCTGGCGATGAGATGGCCAGTCGAGCAGCTGGTGGGCGGGCGAGCAGTAGTAGACGGTCTTGCACTTGGCGCAGCGTAGCAGCTGTTGCTGAGTACCGCAGATCGAGCACCGGGCTATGTCCATGTCCGATTCACTGTTCTTGACCTTTCCGCGACCCCTGCTCATCGCATTTTAAACGAGCCGAATGGAAATACACTATTCCGTGCCGTCAAACGTATGCGGAGCGGGTTTTGATGTTCTTAGGGACTTTCTCCGGCTATACAAGACCACATTGCAGAAATGACCAATCCCTGCGACAATCCCCGAACAAGACAGTGCAATTTTTAACCTTGACTGCTCAGTTTTCCACCTTCGCCCCCGTCACCAACACACACGATAGCGGACGCACTTGCACACCCACACCGCCACCCTTTCGAGATTATGGCTATCAATTGCTCCGCGGCCGTCGCTTGTTTTAGCCAAGGGTGCTCTTCACCATTTCACTGTTATTCGCTCGGGCTTATTTTAATCACGTAGGCCACAGCCGAAATTGCCAAATAAACAAAAAAAACAACGCACTCACACAGACACACGGGCAGCTATGAACGCGTTGTTATTGCTTTTGCAGGCGCTTGTTCTTCGATGAGCAATATTCCGGCTATTGGTTGCACGCCTCGCACCCGACGCTTGCCCACTCTAGTGGGGCTTATCGTTTCTTCACCGCGAATTAGCGAAAAATTGCAAAAAATTATTTTAAAATCTCCCTAGGCTTTTTTGCTTGCTAGAGATGGGCGTCAACCGATAACATGCAACCGATTACGATAGTCAACCGCACTTAGAGAGTGCAGTATTTTTTTTACTTTTCTGCTTCTTCAGCAATTAATTTACTATTAATATTTAAAATATATAAAGGGCTATAAAATAAAAAGACAGTACAAAATTTATTAATAAATTATCCAATATAATATCAACAGGCTTAGTATTTTATTTTTATCATCCTCGATAGCCGGTGGCCCACAAGTGCCACCTCTACTATCAGAACAATAAACAGATGCTGCTCCCTTTGAAATCTTTGAATCCCGCGTGATAGCTCGTTTCCATTGATAAGCGCGATGTCGACTGCGAAACGTGAGGCCAAAGTGGTGCTGGTGGACATTGAGGGTACTACCACCTCCATCAGCTTCGTACATGAAGTGCTCTTTCCCTACGCCAAGGAGAATGTGGAAATGTTCCTGAAACAGAACTGGGCAAAAGAAGAAACCAAGCAGATCGTCAAGGATTTGCAACAGGTGCCCCAGTTCGCCGACTACAAGGTCACACTAAGTGCCCCTGCGGCGGTGTTGGATGTGGAGCTCATTGCCGGCTTTGTGCGCTATCTGATAGACAAAGATCTGAAGGTTACTCCCATGAAGACGCTCCAGGGTCCCATTTGGGCCCGTGGCTATGCCCTTGGAGAGCTCAAAGGGCAGTAAGTATGATTTTTTTAAAAATTAAACAATTTGTTTAAAAGTTCCATGTATGTTAGTGTCTACGATGATGTTCCCGATGCCTTTCGAGCCTGGAAAGATGCTGGCCTTCGGATTGCCGTTTACTCCAGTGGAAGCGTTGCTGCCCAAAAGTTAATCTTTGGATACAGCGTGGCAGGCGATCTGCTTCCCTATCTTAGTGCCCACTTCGACACCCATGTGGGTCACAAACAAGAGCAGCAATCCTATGTCAATATTGCAGGTTCTTTGGGCGAAGAACCTGAGCATATTCTATTCCTCACGGATATTCCAGGGGGTTAGTAACTGGCTCGCATATTTATAGCAAATTTTCTTTAAAATTTTACTTCTACTCCTTTTAGAAGCTTCTGCTGCCCGCTCTGCTGGACTTCAAACCATAATTCTGCAACGCCCGGGTAATGGGGCTTTGACTGACGACCAGAAAAGCATCTACGAGGTGATACCGGACTTCAAATCTCTTTACAACCTCCAACTGCCACAAAAATAAAACACTCGGGTGATAAATCCAAAAATTATACTGGTATTGTGGCTAGGTGATTGGGAATAAGGTGATTCTCTAAAGGAAGGCCCTGTCCACGCTGCATAGGTCGTCGCCGCTGTCATGGGTGGGAGTTTCGGTTACTTGCTCTCGAGGTCTTCTTCCGGAGCGCTTGCTTCTCTGGGACTGCCTCGAACAGGATTTTTCCGATCCGTAGATCTTTCTCAGCTGCTGCAGCTTGGCTTCAGAATCTCCCACAGGACACTCGGACTTCTTTTTCCTGCGCTGCCTGCTCCCTTCGCACGTGTGGCGCATGCCCTCGCTGCGACAATTATGGCTCAGCTTACCTACTTCAGGGCCCCAAAAAGTGGGTCCCTCAAGGAGCAGTGGAGCAGATTTGACGCGCTGCCGCATCATCTCCATGTGCAGTTCGTATTGGCGTTCCTGCAGTGCCTGCTCCGCTTTCCTAGTGGCTAGCCGAATGGACAGCAAAGCCTTGTGGGGTTCACTAGCGGATTAAACCGGATGATTAGATAAGTTCTCATAATGAAATGGAATACTAACTTTAGAGACAGCGACTTCCAAGCCGGTGTCTTGCGCACCTCCCAGTCGAAAGGTGGCCGTGGATCATGAAACGTACAGTTGTTCTTCAGCTCCTTAACTTTCTTCCGCGACACTTCGGCTCTCAAAGTGGCTGCCAGGTTGGGTCGAGCCACCGGATGCAAGGGGGAGACACTAGGAGTCCTTCGCGGCATCGGTTCCTCCGGCAAGTCGAAAATTCTCAAAGGTGGCATAGCTTTTTCATCCTTCGGCATGGCCATTGGATTGGATTTGCGACCTCTTCCGCGTCTTGTCCTGCCCCGGCACACTGTGGAGGCACTGCTGCTGCGCTTGGAGGAAGCGGTGGGCGATAATATCTCGATCTTGGGCACCTGTTCCTCAGACACCTTCTTCCCACTCGGAAAATAGTTGCTGAGCGTGGCCTGAGCGCACTTGGGGGGCGGTAAGGGGGTCTCTGCGACATGTCCTCCCAGATCATTGACACTGAAACATCGTCGCAGCATCTCCCTCCGGCATTTCGCCCGCTGCGCCGTGTGCTGTCCAGGATTAGCAGTCGGTTGCGGACGGATTTTGGGCTGTGTCTGGCTCTGGCACTGTGTTTGAGTCGCATTACTACTAGTGGACTTGGGCCGTCGAAACTCTGCCTCGAAACTCTTTAGGGATCTCTTGAAATCCGCCACTTCAACGGCAAAGTCCTCCTTGAAACTCTTTAGGCGACTCAAGTCCTTCAGACATTTGTCGTACTCCTCGCTCAGGCAACTGGAATGGGGCGTGTGAACCGCTACAGGTGGTGTAATACATTGATCTAGGTGGATGGGGCTTGCTGTCATGGTTGGCGGAGCAACTGCATCCAGCACAATAGGAGGCTTCTTAGACTTTTTCCCCTTGATAGCCCTTTTTTTGGACTTTCCATGAGCATGGCCCAGGGAACTGCTGCTAGCACTGGCACAGCGCTGTCGAGGTGGATTTGGAACTCCATTGGGAGCAGGAGCTTGCTGGGATCTAAGCTCACGGCTGGTGCTGCGTAGACTCTCCAAAGTAGAGTAGAACTCCGCCTGGTGTAAGTGCTTCACATCACAGTAGTCTACAAGAAAGAGACTCCTTATTTATATTTAAAAATTTATTAATTTTAAAGGCCCAACCCACCAGGTATACTATCGTAGAACTTGGCCAGGGACCTTATCCCCATTTGGTTATTCCAGGCAGGTGTTTCCGCCTCTGTCGATTCTGCTGGAGCCGTTCCCGTTTGTTTCTTTCCGCCCAGCGAGCAGAGCTTGGGGCGATTGTAGACCGGAGCTGGACAATTGTTGCACGGATCTATGGGCACTTTGACGCAGGAGTTGAGATAGTGCGAGCTCATACTGCGAGGAGCTTCAGCTTTTTGGAAAATTGTTGCAAACGCGCTTTATCAATACTGAGCCATACATCGAATTGTTGCCAGCGGTAACCTCGGCGGTGTTTGTTTTTGTGCACTTCCGTTTTGGGCACACCATTCGCCAGGTCACGCACTGTGCTGCGCTGTCCTGGTTTCGGATGCACTTCCTCCGCGCAGCCGCAGAAACTTTGAGGAAGGGTTGAAAGAATTAACATACCGGAGAAGTGAATACCGGAACAGAGTGGGGTTTTCAATAGTTATAGACTGTTTCGTTAAAAAGCATAGGGCTGATATTATTTAATATTACTAAGTAAAGATTAGTACTCAATATACGATTCTTTTTCAAATTTCCCGCCTAACTAAAAACACAGGGTGATTCGATTTAACCAACACTGAAAATTTGTGTGGCCATCTATCGTTCGCCCAAAAACCTTCAATTCAGAATCGCCCAGCTTGGTCAGTCTAAAAATACCCCACCTGAACCCACCTGAGTCCCTGAGCACTGAACACTCGTTGTCTTGTGTGCGTGGACTGGTCGCGGAACAACAACTATCTAAAAACAGAAAACAAAGACTAGAGGCCAAAAAGCGGCTTATTCCGCCAGCCAAAACAACACTCTTGATTTCTCCCGTCAGAGGGGGGTGCGCGATTTGTGGAAGCGGAGGGAAGACCCGTACCGCCGTACCGAATATTCCGGGCCAGAAACACACGAGGCAGTGACCCAATCGAACATGAATATATACGCGGCAGCAACAGTTGCGCTCATCCTGCTCCTGGGCCAAGCAGCTGGCGACGTGTCGCACCTGGCCGAGGAGGGGGACCGAGAGGCTGAGGCCGAGGTGAGTGCTTGTTTGTGTTGTTTTGTTATGATTCAGCGCGGCCGTTTCGACATCTAACGCTTTTTCCGAGGCACAAAAATAACAAAATCCCCCTCCGTTAAGTCACTAAAGCTTGGGGGCATGGGTTATCGGGTCTGCGGATGGGATAACGGTTTATACCATTAAGCGAAATATGCAATTTTACAGTTTACTTACCACCCCGCTTGCCTCACACACATATGAACTCTATCTCTATCACACACACACGCACAACATACCCCCCTACATACATATACTAGCACACATCCGGACATACATGTATTTGCGCCATATTGGCTGATGGCTGATGGCCGATGGCCTATTGTTTGTTCGTCGTTTTAGTACCTCTGATTAGCTTTATTCTCCAGGTCTCGCTTTCAGTTTTCTTCTTCGGCTTGGCGCTTCTCTTATCAACCAGGTCTTCTGTGGACTCTGTTTATTTTGCGTCGCAGTCAGCTGTTTGCTTATCTCTTTGACCCAATGAAGCTAATCATTTTAGCCCGACGCTCTGTTTTGTGCTCGGTTCTTATCAGGATTTTTTAATTGATCTACTCCTTTGTTTATAATTTCTCTGTGTGCGCAGCAGACTTTCTTCAGCAATTGCGTCTTAGTTTTCGCTTAACCCTTAGGTGCCCATGGGGCTATAATTAAAGTTTAAATAAAAAATAAAAATAAAGAAAGCTAATAAATCAGTTTCCAATATCGATTTGTCGCCCCAAGACTAATAATGCGAGTTTAAAGAGGGTGTAGGCTTTTAAGGGTGAACTGGTTTCTTGGGCCATTTCCTTAGTTTTCCACCCTTAATGAAAAATGTACTATATTCACCCTGACTTTTATATTTTAAGGCTCTAATATTCAGTAAAAAATGTAATAAATAAAGCTTAAAACTAAAATAAGTGTTAATTTTATATGGAAATAATGCCAGGCAATGCCAGAGCTTAACTTTTATTCAGAAAATTGTTTATGACAGCTTATCTTTCTAGAAAGCGATGAGACACAACAATGCATTGTTTATTTAAGCTCTATTTAAGCTTTAAGTTCTAGAGTATTCATGGAAATAGACTCTAAAAAAAATAGTTCCGTAAAAAAACACTTGATACTCTGCTATTCAATCCTATAACCAATTTGATGGATAAATATTCAGGCATTTCATTCACAAGTGGTTTTAAAACCAGAAATCTATAGAAACGTTTGCCAAATATGACGATATCAGTCAGTTTAGATTTAATTGATGATTTCAACTTGAATAAATATATTTCTGAGAAATCTGGGCAAAATTTATGGGCACACCAGTGCAAAAACCTGTACAGATTTCAAATTGTGATTAACTGTTCAATGATTCAGAAGGGGAACAGATTCCCATTTAAATAAATTAAATTTTCTGTTTGTGATGCTCAGTCTCCCAGGCCTCCCAACCCCCCAACCCCCCTATTTTGGCCACAAAGTAATGTGCCAGATTAATGACTGAGAGGGCACACCAGCCGGCTGTTGCCTCCGTCATCAGGGCAGCCTCCCGCCAAGCCCCTCTTAGAGGAAACCTGGTCGGACTTTGGGAGGCTGCCATTTGGAGCGGCGTCATCAATATCAATTAAATTGCCGGTAGGCATAGGGGTAGGGGAAGCTAACAAAAAAAAAAAAAAGCCATGTTATTCATCATACTCGTACTCGTACTCAAACGAAAATATTTATATATGCATATAATTAAATATAACGTGAAAAGGGTTAAAGCCACATAGACGAGGGCTGGGGGAATGGGTTAAAAAAAAAAAAAACAGAATGAAAGCAAAAAGTAGAGAGCTGTTTGAATTATTTACCGCAGCGCATTCCAAATGCTGAATTTTAATTTTACGCATGCCTCAATGGAAATGAAAATAATTCTAAATTGAGTTAAAAAATATACATTTAGACTCGACTGTTTCAACACTCTTTAAATTTAAGAAATTAAGAACCTAAAAAAGTACTCTCTGGTTTCTTTAATTCTATTCTTTAGCATATCTTAGATACAATCCTATTTTTTATTAAAAATAAAAGGGCAAGGAGTTGAATAGAAAAACACCGCACAGAGACTAGGAAGGAATGCATGGAAAAAATTTGCATAAATGAATATTATTGCGGAACTATGTGCGCGGATATAGCCCCCACACTACCACAAACATATTCGCGCAAATATTTATGGGTACACACGAGTATAATATATATATATATCTATATACATACATATTCATTCAGTCAAGTCAGCGGAGGAGAACTGGCTGCCGGATAGAGGAGCACTATTGTCTCGGAGATATATCTGTCAGCAGGCGGTCTGAAGCAGTCGGAGGGGCTTGTGACTGTCATTTAGGAAATCAAATCGGATGACTCACAAGCCCACAAAAACAAAGACAGCCGGATGAATCTATCGATGTCTTTGCCAGCAAATTGTCAGCGACTTCTACTTTCTGGTTTTTGGTTTTTGGCTTTATGCAAATCAGCTAGTGGATTTGCTGACTCCGCCAGACCGCCCATCGAACATCAGTCTCCATCGATCCAGCTGCCCATATCCTTTGTACAATTTTGTGGATGATTTGCCGCCTAATAGAAATGCCACTAAACGCCTTAACCGACCAGCCCAAGACAACGAGATCCCATCTCCATTCCAAATTAGCACCCAGGGGAGCTGTGAGGGCAAAGTTTATAATGAGCTTGGCCAGAAGGGGGGTCACTCGGTGGGCTAAATGCCAGTGGGTGTCGGATGTGTGCGAGTGTGTCTCCATTGTCTGATTGGAAATTTAAGCAGGCAACTCGAGAGCTGATAACTTAGCCAGATTATGGCTAGAGTACTAATATAAATAGGTTTAATTCTGGCTTTAAATTCCCAAAAGAAACCCCAATGCAGCAATGGAGTTGGTGGAGAAGCTGCAGGTGTCCTCCCAGATGCCAGATAAAAGATAGCAGCCCAAGCACCACAAAGCCAATATAATTTCAAAGATGTTTGCGTGAGGCGTGGCTGGAATTTAAAATGTTTGAGCTTGTTATTAGCCAGTGCAAGATATGGAATTCCTGGAATCAGCACTTGAATGCACGCTTGGCAAGAATTTGGCAAACGTGCCAGTATAGATGGAAACAATTGAAACCCCAAAAATGTCAAAATCTGACTGATGTTGAATAAAAATCAAAGAATAAATGAATTTCTGATGGTGGGAAATACCATGCAAAGTTCACAGATACCTATGGTATTGATGGACCCCTGGAGATCCATTTGATAAAAACTACTATTATATAGTTGTCTATATTTATAAACAAAGAATACTTTGTAAAAATGCAAATATTTTTTATTAAACGACTTGAATCTTCTCATCAGACTTGTGGGGATTCAGGTGCCACAGCAGGTGCGTTTTGGAGAAAGCCCTTGCCAAGGTTAATGTCTTTATTAACACAAAAACACGCCCCAAAAAAAAAAAAAACGTGCCCATCCCATAAAAGCCCTAAAGTGCGGCATCTTGACCTTGGACTCGAGACCATCTTGCATAACCAAATGGGGCTCCAACACACATGGTTTTAAGTTTTAAATACTATACCGGTTATGGGGCTCTTGAATGGGGTGGCAATGGGCTGGCCAGAAGCGCCGAACAGGTCGTGCGTAAGTGGATTTCAAAATGTTAATGGGATGCGAGGGAAAGAAATTAAGTCACCAGTGACAGAATTTTACCACATCCTGATGCTGATGATGATGTGGAGGATGATGTTTTTGTTGCATTTATTTGCACGCCAAGCGGGCCAATCGCTTTAATTAAACTTTAATTAAAAACAACACAAGCCAAATTGCCAATTTACGCGGCGACAGCGCTGCCACTGGGAGCTGCCAACTGCGACGCCGCATTTGCTCGATGATGTTTGCGTTGATTCAATTAAAGTTTTTCAACACTGGCCCATCAAGGCACGGCTTAATGCGCATCGTTCAACACTTGCCGGGCGTATTTTTACATCCCGTTTACACTGGACGGATTTTGTGTTTACCCAGGGAGTTCAGTAAGCCACCGATTGCAACAGGGGCTTATGAAAGCCTACGATGGGTGGAAAATCTGCTGGAAAATACACATGCTAAAATAAGCATATTAAATACTGACTGAATTGCCATTTAAAGCCATTTAACGGCCATTAGTTCTCATTTATTATTTACATTGTTAAAAATGAAACATATTTAAGAGTTGCAATTATCAATCTTGAATATTATACTCCCACGTAAGCTGCTTCCACTTAAATTCAGTCTAAGCCTTCTTATTATCTGGAAATGCCAGGAGAGCCTGTATCAATTACATTGCAAAGTGCAGAGCGCATTAAATTATGGTAACAGGCTTACCAACGGCTGGGTATCGCTTGGAATTGGATGCTCTTTCGACTGGGGTGTAGGGTGTTGCCAGGACAACCGACAAGTGAAGGGCGAATCACTCGCAGTACTTACCATCCGGAGCTGAGGAAGGATGGAAGCACCGATGGAACTTAAAAACTCATCATCGTGTTTTGGTATGGCTTGCGATGTTGTTTAAAATGCCATAAAGTTTAATTGAAAAACAAGCTCCGGCAGCGCATCACCAAACTGAACCACCCACATCCACAACCCACTACCCACACCCCACTACCCCACTCCCACACAACATAATCAGCTTGGGCATCAGGCCGGCATCAACGTCGACTGCAGTGACGCAACCGTTGTCAAAAGTTTTTTATGCATTTTTCGGCTTTTTTGTCAGCGATGTCAGCGGCAATGAGGATGAACGACCAAAACGTCAACAAGACGCCAAGTATCCCCATCCCTAAGCCTTTTCCCCACTGACCCTGTCTACAGTCTGCTGTCTGCTGTTGCTGTCAGCGGCAATGCATCAGCAGCTAAAGGGGAATACACTTGAAAATAAATCGGTTTGGAAAGGTTTTTCAAACTAATCATCTACTAGTCAGACTAACTACTAGACTACTAGAGTAAGAAATCAAAATACTTTGGTTAATCATGCTAGATTTATAAAAATAGAACTCTATTTTATTTCTCTAAGTGTCACCACAGAAGCCAGTCTTTTTGTGATTTCGATTTTTTAAATTATTCAGCAAAATCCGTCTGCGGCTGTCCGTCGATCCATCTCCCTCCGACCAACTGTCCAACTGTCCCACTGTCCGAGCTGTGGAGCGTCTGTCAACGGGTTTTCGCATTTGTGTCTCATCATTTATCGATGGAGTTTGCTGCAATGCCCCACAAACCGGTCCGATTCAGTCTCAGTTTCGTTGCGGCGGTTAATTAGTTTTTGTGGCCTGCCAAGGCCCAGTCGAGCGTTGGACCAGTGATTGACTTGCTTGGTCATCCGATGTCCCATTCCCGTCCCATACCCATTGCCGTTACCACAGTGCCGACCGCAATAGCAGTGCAATTATGCCGAGTTCATTAGGCTTTAGGAGCGGGTGGGCCATTTCCAGGTGGGAGGCCTCTGCACCAGGCCACCTGCAATGCGTTCATTTATAATTAACCCTAAACCTGCCCCAGTGCCGTCGTAATGCCTTTCTGAATTTTAAATCATGAAGGATTTGCACACATGCCCGGCCCCCTGTGGGGATAGAGGGTGGTGGACCTGTCCTATATCCCTAGCTTAAGTGCTTAATATTAAGTGTTGGGTTTAATATTTGATATAGTCATTGCTTGAAATCGTTTTATGAACCTGTTGCTTGGTGTTAGATGGTAGGTGCTTTAAATATAATGCTTTAAGGAGCTTGTCAGGTCATTAGTCATTAGGTTTGATGAACGATTAACAGCCTGGATATTAATTAATCAGTAGGAATTAATGAATTATTACTCGCAACATAATTAATTAAAAATTACAAACAAATATTTAATGAAAGTTACAGGGGATTAGCCTTCAATTCAATAATCGAATTAAATGTATTTGTTTTTAATAATCCAAAGAGCTTTGGCCATAAAGGTCGCTAAAGGATTAACCTGCTGGTTCTGGGTCAACACGGTGGGTGGCACTACTGCATCACATAATCACACAGATACCACACGGCCTTGCTTGCCTTGCTCCACTTTAATGTACACTCTCATCTCCCCCAACACGCATCCGTCCAGCTCTAACCCTAACCCGTATGCTCATCAGCCATGTCTGCCACAAATCCGACCGAAATCCGAAATCTCTTTGTGTGTATCCTTATATGTGTTTTGCTTTCTGTTTCGTCCTTCCCCACCCACCACACTCGTCCCACCACCACCACACACTTGAAATATCCTCCCAACCGCCCGATCCCTGAACCCGAAAACAGAGCACGGTTACGGAGAGCACCACTTCGGAGGCGCCCACGGACCAGACGCCCGTCAGTGAGCCGGCCGTGAAGCTGGTCCACGTCCTGAATCCCGGCGAGCGGGAGTACCTGTCCCCCAACCTGATCGGAGTCCAGAACATAGCCATGACCTTCCTGCCGCTGTCGATGAACTTTGTGAACATCATCGACGCCTTCAGGGAGATCACCAGCGGGGTGCGCTACGAGATCCTCCTGAACGCCGTGGACACCAAGGTGAAGCAGCCGGAGGAGGCGGACACCATCTGCCGGCTGGTGATTCTGGAGAAGCCCTGGCTGAGGACCCAGTGGGGGGACAAGCACCGCGAGCTGGTCACCTCCAACTGCAGCGACTCGTCGGAGAACTCGCTCACCGGCGGCGAAGATCCGGCGGAGAGGGCGAGGCTCCTAAACGAGAAATACGTGAGTAACAGCATCTTCAATGGCGGGAAGAGGAACGAGCTAACCGACGCGGAGATGGCTAACCTGGAATCCCAGATTATCACGGGTCTGGGCCCAATGAAGCGAAAGGTCAGCCCGAACAAATCCGCTCCTACTCCTGCTCCTGCTCCTGCTCCTGCTGCCGCTGCTGAAGCTCCGGCCATTCTCACCTCCATCACGGTCTCCAAGTGGACACCGACACCGGAGTCCGCTAATGAGCCTACCTCCACCCCCGCCGCGGCAATTAGCATTGATGAGGCGAAAAAAAAGAATGACGAGGAAGAAGGCCTAGCAGCCACCACCACAGTCGCCACGGAGCTGAACGATAATGAGAAGCGGTGGCTCGATGATTTCCTATCCGTGGGTGCGTATAATTTCGAGCAGCAGCAGCAGCAGGCGGAGGAGAAGCAGCCGGCGGAGAGGCAGGAGGAGACCACGCCGGAATCGGTGAACCCAGAGGTGGAGGCTACTACAACCATACCAACAGCATCATCATGAACATCCCTATTATCATCATCATCCCAGTACCAAAACCAAACCAAACCACCCATCACATCACAATCTCAATCCTCCTCGCCCCCCCTGTCAGTGTCAGTGTCTTCCACCCACAAATACTCTTTATACACACACACTCACCTAAATGCGAACAATAAAGGAGGAAAATGTTATTTAATTGAATTTATTTAAGCTTGCCTTTTCACCTGGAGACTGTTGGGCCTGGGCCAGGGGTTGGAGTGCCACGCCAGAAGGCCGCTTTAGAGCCCTCCCAGCCTCCCTCCGAAAACACTTATTTCACCTTAATAATCAAATGAGTTTCCGCTCCTAAATTACGGCCGCAATCTGTTTAACCCGGCCATGTCTTGGGCCATCCACTCGCTACCCCCACCTCGATGGTAGGCCCATCTGCACCTGTCCATATTTCTTCATGGCCGGGCGACCTACCAAGAGGGCTGGCAAGGAGGTGGCAAGATGCCCATGCTCGTGTCGGTGCTGTGAATGTGTGAGAGGTTAAGTGGTTGGGAGTGGAATCCTCTGTTCCACACCTGGCCCCCACCTGCGAGGCCAGTGGTGTCGACACAGAGTGCGAAGCAAGTGTTCTCATTATCCTTGTGCTCTACTTTTTACAGCGGTTGAATCTGTGGTGGCCTGCACAGTGGGCTCTGAAAAGGGTGTCTTTAGAAGCGAGCTTTCCACATGATGTCCTCAAAGAGGGTTCTTCATTAGGAGATTCATTAAAAATCCTAGATAGATTGGTTACATTTTCCAGAGGGCTGTTAGAGCAAGTCTATGAACTGCTACTATATAAATCAATCTGATTTCAACGTGCACTTGGTCGTACATCATTTCCAATCCATATGAGTCGGCTAATGAGCTCTTCAAAAAATACATAATCGTTGAATAAATTAATTAAGTGCTTTGGAAATGGAAACGCGCACTACACACTATGTGGGGCCAACTGTCAGAGACTATAGAACTGCGCTCGGCACTCAACTGTCAATATATCCAAATGGATTTTACAGCCCATTGCACAGAAAACCACCCAATGCACCCACAAGAGCCACCCACTTAGGCCACCAGCACTGCCAGCACTACCAGTAGTGTTCCACTGTGCCAGTGCCTCCAGGGTCGTTGAAACATCATTTACGTTATAATTCTTATTGAAATACACATTTGAATTAACAGCTCTCGGTCGGGTGTTTGGGGTGTCAGGCTAGTGGAGGTCCAGGACACTGCGGTTGGGGTTTCTGCCGGAAGTGAGGAGACCAGGCGGGTGGATGCGGAACCGAAGAGGGAGGATGCTTAATGAATTCATGTTCGGACGCAGGCAGGCAGGCTGGCTGGCAGGCTGGCAGGCTGCACACATCGAAAAGGATGGCCTGGGACTGGCATCGAAACACGGCTCGGCTGCTCTTTCTTTTTGGATTGCTGTATTTTTAATTATACACACGTCGTAGCCATTACATTTCATTCAGTATTGTTGTCCCATCTAGATGGTCAGCACTCGGAAAATAAAGTTTTGGTAACTGGGCTGGGGATGTCATAAAGTAAAGGTATAGATCATGTGGGTATAGGACCCATAGTTGCCCTCAATTAGGGCCATCTTTCAGTTTCTATCAAATTATACTCTTTAGGAAGAGTACTCTGAAAGTCCTTTCCATTTTCAAAAAAACAAATAAAAATTGTCGAGTGTAACATCCGCATCCATGGCCACGGCAAAATCATAACCATCCCCGTCAGTTACCTGGCTACGACATCAGGAGCCGACATTTGGCCCCTGGCCATGACTGCGACTCCGGGCAGTCGTCGGCAGAAGGGATCCACGGAACGCCTGGAACCAAACACCATCAATGGCAATACAATCCGACATATCACCGTCATCGATGCCAGCCGGCAAACGAATTTCGAACCAAAATGTTTGCTTTAATTGGTTTTGTGTTCGGCATTGAATGGTTTATGGTCGTCCTGGTCGCATATGTCTGTCGTCAGTCCCCAGTCGGGGTTATTGTTGCTCCTCCATTCTATTCTCCAGCGATAAGGATAATCCTACCCTGCGCCTATTCAGGACTTGTGTTTTTCTTGCCGCAACTCTTCCAGCCACGTGTCCTTTCTGTCAATTTTGGGTAATGTAAATTCAGGCATGTCCTTGTTTCATTTGCATTCGTATTCGTAATTTATGCGCCACTTCCACAGCTTTTCGCAGCATTCGCACACAAACATATATCGAGGTCGGAGGTTACTGATGTGGTGACAGCTGCGTGTCTGTTTGTAATGGATAAGTGTATCCTTGTTATGTAATTAGCACAAGATTAACGAACTGCCGCACTGCCGACATCAGAACAATTTCATTTGACTTTTGTGTTGCTGCCAGGTATGGAATGAAATGTAAGGGATATCATCTAAATTTATTTATAAATGTTTTTTTGCGGGGTTACAAGGTTGATACAAGGTTGAAAGGCAATTTATTAAAGGTATTTCGCTTTAAAAACAGATAAAGATCCCCAATATTGTGTTAATAAAGACGTTTTTGAATTATTTTGAAGTGGTTTTTGAAGAAAAATATAAGACATATTTGACATACATAAATATATTCCCCATCTAAAAGTTGCTGTAGACACATATAACCCTTAAGATGTATATTAAAGAAGATAAAGCCTTCACTTCGTTCCACTATATAATATTCTAGGGCCTAAAGTCTAGGCATTCTCTTATTTTCAATTTTTTAAAGAAGGTTCTAAAAGAATGGGCGATACCTTGGAGGAGGTCTTTCCAAAATCTTATAAAATATAGAAAACAAATTGATTATAGAGGGTTTTGATGGGAACTCTACCTAAATTCTAGAAACACATTTCTCCCGTTGTAGTAGCCCACAAATTCAAATTTCAAATTACCTGTCATTAGTGTTCAGTTCGAAACAAAATCCAAAACTCACTCACATCACTCGCTTAGCTTGGCGTGAACACCGGCAACAATATACTTTTCTACTAACTTTTCTACGGTTCGTCAATAATGTTAAAAATTTCCATAATAATATCCTTATAAGTGACTGATGCCTTCCACAGAGCATCTTTTCACGATGAAGCCATCTTCGCTGACGTGCCGCATTCGCCAGATTTGGATCTTGTCCAGCTGGCTGCGTCAGGAAGCGGCGGCGGCGGCTGCCATGTTGGTGGTGCGGCGCCACCAGGTGCAGCTGAAGGCGGAGGAGGACGAGCGGCGGGCGGCAGCCGAGGTAGCGGACGGTAGCCAGTATGGCGTCGACTCCCAGGGAAGAATGCGGGCCGTCCGCATGCTCGACGACTACATCGTGCCCTTCGAGTGCACCCTCTGATGGTTCAGTTTCAAGTCTGATCTCTAGCTGGTCGTACATGATGTGCCTTATTGCTGAGTTACATGTTCCCGTTCCCGAAGCACGCAGATCTGTCTGTTGGTCAGGTGCATCCGTAATGGGGTTTTTTCCAAATTTTGGTTCGCAGCCAGGAATTCCATAAATATTAATTACATTCTATCATTACAAGGACATCAAGACCAAGCTCGATAATTGAGTTTAATAAATTGAGTTCGTTTCAAATGGTTTTTGACTTTGGGGGGGAAGTCCACGAATATTTTACTCGCTTTCTGTTTAAATTTAAAATCTAATAAGTTTGTATATTAATCTTCCTTTAAAATATTTTATTCATATAATTTATTTCCTGCAGATCTCTCGCAGCAGACGAAGCATCAACGACGTCCTCGTGGGTGACCACAAGCCCTACGATGAAAAGCAGGCCAGAGAACAGTTGCAGCGATCCCTGAACAAGCTAACCGAGGGCGAGGGTCCTCACTACAAGTAAGCTTCCCTTATAGTTCAAAGTAGACCCAACCTTAACCTTTATCTTCCCTCTTCCAGGATCCTAAAAGTTTACTCGGCTTCCCGCCAAGTGGTTTCCGGCACACTGACCCGCATCGATGCCGACTTGCTCGACAGCTCGGCCACGCAGCATCGCTGCATTGTGGAGATCTGGGCCCAGCCCTGGTTGACGCAGCACGAGGTCATCTTCAAGTGCCGCAATCAGCCAGTGGTCCATGCCAGACACAGCCGATCGGCCGAGTGGGCCGAGAAGAAGACGCACAAGAAGCACAACCATCACTCTCTGGACAAAGTCGAGCACCTTTTCCACAAGTTCCAGGTGCGCTTCGGACGCCGCTACGTGAGCTCCGCCGAGCGGCAAATGCGCCTGCGGATCTTCCGCCAGAATCTGAAGACCATTGAGGAGCTGAATGCCAACGAGATGGGCAGTGCCAAGTACGGCATCACCGAGTTCGCCGACATGACCAGCACCGAGTACAAGGAACGCACAGGGCTCTGGCAGCGGGATGAGGCCAAGGCCACTGGCGGATCACCGGCGGTGGTGCCTGCCTATTCCGGCGAGCTGCCCAAGGAGTTCGATTGGCGGTCCAAGAAGGCCGTCACCGGGGTGAAGAACCAGGGACAGTGCGGCTCGTGCTGGGCCTTCAGTGTGACGGGCAACATCGAGGGCCTGTACGCCTTGAAGTACGGCGAGCTGAAGGAGTTCTCCGAGCAGGAGCTCCTCGACTGTGATACCACGGACAGCGCCTGCAACGGCGGCCTCATGGACAACGCCTACAAGTGAGTAAAGGGTGTCCATTTTGGAATCCTTTCTAATATTTCTGCCTCCTCAGAGCCATCAAGGACATTGGCGGGCTGGAGTACGAAGGCGAGTACCCTTACGAGGCCAAGAAGAAGCAGTGCCACTTCAACAAGACCTTGTCTCACGTCCAGGTTAAGGACTTTGTCGACCTTCCCAAAGGCAACGAGACCGCCATGCAGGAGTGGCTGGTCAGCAACGGTCCCATCTCCATTGGTAACCAACCAAATCCGATTTCAGAATGAAATCCGCTCACGTGTCTGTGTATTTCAGGAATTAATGCCAACGCCATGCAGTTCTATCGCGGCGGCGTCTCGCATCCCTGGAAGGCACTCTGCTCCAAGAAGAACCTGGACCACGGTGTTCTGGTCGTCGGCTATGGCGTCTCCGACTATCCCAACTACCACAAAACCCTTCCCTACTGGATTGTAAAGAACTCGTGGGGTCCACGCTGGGGCGAGCAGGGCTACTATCGGGTCTACCGCGGCGACAACACCTGCGGCGTCAGCGAAATGGCCACCTCGGCTGTCCTGGCCTAGACCCGGGTGGGAGCCACCTTATAAACAAAGCATATGACTATATCTAGGTTTAATATTCGTGGCCGTAACTTTGTGTACAATCTCCTTCTATGTTCTTCAACTGACGTGATTGAAAAATTTAATTAAGTTCCAAAGCTTTCGCATGTAGCTCACCCTGTAATCATTTTGGACATCTGTAATCTCATGAAAAATCCGCATACTACCATATTCCGCTTTTAAACAAAAATATACATCAATTGTACAAGAATTAAGTCAGTGATGGTGGCTTTTAAATGGTTTAAGGAGGGGAAATGAGTAGTTCATGGCCTGAATCGGTGACAGACTTGGTGTCAGCAACAGTTGGTCATGAAACAATGGGTCTTAACCATCGGAATTTTAAAATTTATATAATATTAAACAAGATAATCCTCTTCTTTAATATTAAACAAGAGAGGAAAACTCACTTTGGGCTAAGCCCAAGTTATAAACCCTGATGGCTATATCTTCCCCAATTCTCATCCGATTCTCAAGAGGAGTACCTTAAACGATTTGTGGATCGATTCTCCACCATTCTGCATCAAAATCCTGAGACAACATATTTTTTAGATTTTTTGTCCATTTTTCATGATAGGATCCCTTGAAAATGGGGTTTTTCCCTGTAGGGCCCACTGTGATGGGTATATCTTTCCCAATTTTCATCCGATTCTCAAGAGGAGTACCTTAAACGATTTGTGGATCGATTCTCCATCATTCTGCATCAAAATCCTGAGAAAAAATATTTTTTAGATTTTTTGTCCATTTTTCATGATAGGATCCCTTGAAAATGGGGTTTTTCCCTGTAGGGCCCATTGTGATGGCTATATCTTTCCCAATTCTCATCCGATTCTCAAGAGGAGTACCTTAAACGATTTGTGGATCGATTCTCCATCATTCTGCATCAAAATCCTGAGACAACATATTTTTTAGATTTTTTGTCCATTTTTCATGATAGGATCCCTTGAAAATGGGGTTTTTCCCTGTAGGGCCCACTGTGATAGCTATATCTTTCCCAATTCTCATCCGATTCTCAAGAGGAGTACCTTAAACGATTTGTGGATCGATTCTCCACCATTCTGGATCAAAATCCTGAGACAAAATATTTTTTAGATTTTTTGTCCATTTTTCATGAAAGGGTTTTTCCCTATAGGGCCCACTGTGATGGCTATATCTTATATACGGATATGTCTCATTTACCTTTATGTTGCACACTTTTGACCAAAATTATAACACCATTTGCAAGGGTATAACAAGTCTTTATAAATTATATTCCTAAGTTGAAAAATGATTGCCCAAAAAATATAAAAAATCTTTATTTTTCTTGCATTCCATGCAGAGTGCGCAGAATTGCAGTATGCTAATTAGATTTAGACCAGGGACGACGCCCCAGCGGAAGCCACACAACTCGCTGGCATCTGGTGCGGAATAAGCAAAGCTCAGTTGCAGCTGAAAGCGCATCGCGGCCGGAGACCAGAGCCATGGCCATGGACGACTACGACGATGACGGTAAGTGGACGCCCCCGCAAAGGACGCAAAGGATATCTATCACATCCATTCGCAGTGAGCAGTGTGGGCGTGACCACGGCCCGTATTGAGAACCAACACCAGCAGCAGTACCACCAACAGGGCCAGCATGGACACCACCAGCAGGGACAGCACCAGGGTCAGGGTCAGTACAGCGCCGGAGCGGTCAAGGTGGGTGGCTGGCGGTACGAGGATGCTAGTCGGTACATTGGCGAGTGGAATCAGCGAGGCCAGAAGCACGGAATTGGGCATCTGCAGTTCGCCGACGGCACCCGCTACGACGGCCAGTTCCAGGAGGGACTCAGCCAGGGAGTGGGCTGCCTGTGGTTTCCGGATGGGGCCAAGTCAGTATCGAAATCAGTACGCCTGCGGATACATTGACGATTAACCCTTTTCCAAGGTAGATACGAGGGCGAGTTCCATCAGGGATGGTTCCACGGCAATGGGATATTCTGGCGCGCCGACGGCATGAAGTACGAGGGAGAGTTTCGCGGCGGAAAGATCTGGGGCCTTGGACTGTTGACCTTCCAGGACTTTACTCACGGCTTTCCGAGGAACGAGGGCTTCTTCCAGGACTGCCGCTTCATGCGCCGCCGACGCTGTCCAGAGGTGGTCCAGCGCGCCCAAAAGTGCGCCCTCATGGCGCGCTCCCAGTGCGAGCATCCCTACTAAAGCATATACCCTATGGATCACAAAAATAAAGAAATGCCATTAATGGTGTCATCCAAGAGTCGTGGCTACCAAAGAGAAACCACTATTATGTAATGTATGTAAATCCTAGAATTTGTGCGTTCGCTTATTTGCTTTAAAGAAGTAACAAAAATTTTATTGTTTCTCGACTAATTCTCACTGGCCGCCCCCACCATGTACCAGGCGTTTCTGGCCTTAACCGCCGTGTTGCGCACCAGCCGCTTGGGATCATCCAAAGCCGCGGCCAGGGCCAGGGTCACATCGACTTTGTGCGGCAGCAGTACGAATGTTGGGTACTTGGTAATGTCGTAGAGCAACTGCAGCGCAGCAATCCGAACTTGCTGTAAGATTCAAAGATTTGTTACTATCCCTAGAGATTCTGTTTGAAAAGATTCCTTACCATTGTGTGCTGGGCTTTGTATTTTGACAGCTCCAAGCAGCTGGGTATCAGGTGGGCCAGTTGACCCTGGAAGTACTCGTCTTGCTGCTGCACAAACCTCTCACAGATCCCCAGAGCAATGCACAGTGACTGCGCCTCGTTGTGCTCCTCCAGACTCTTGAAGAGCAGCGGTCCCAGTTGTTCGATGTTCATTTTGATGACAGCCTGCGGCGTGGCCTTCAGCACATAGACGAAGGCCTTCAGGTGATGCACACAGTAGTTGGCCAGTTTTCCGCCCATCTTTCCCATAATAGTGTGGAAGAGCTTTTGCTTGTAGAGGAACTTGACCACCGGCAGATCCAACTCTGGGTACTCGGCCGCAATGATGTCGAAACCCAGCGCAGCAGCTGTGCTCAGAGTGGGATGCTTTAGCAGATCAGAGAGCTACAAAGGGGAGTAATTGTATTAATTGGCCAAGTGGAGTAGCTTTATATTCACTTACATCCCCAACGATATCGGCGGCCTCGTCAAAGCCAGCTACTACCAGGCCCTTGGCAACCCACGCCAGAATTTCGACCGCCCGTACGTCGCCCTTCTTGATCGCCTCCTTCAGCTGGTGCGTGATCTTCTTAACCTTCGACCGGTTCTCCGGACTGCTTTCCATCTTGTTAACCAGGCTGCAGAGCAGGTGGTGAGCGATCACACGCAGCTGCTCGTTGTCTGTGCTGAGCGAGAGCTGGGTGAGATCGCTCAGCAGCCGCTCAAAGTGGTCGTCCAGGCTGATGTCCTTGTGCAAGTAGCCGAGTAGGCCCTTGGCAACATAAAGATCGGCGGAAACACTTAGGTTCAGTCCAGGGAGGTACTCGCTAACGATGGCGCTCTGCTCCGAAAGGGGCAGCTGCTGGGTTATTCTACTCAGAGCTCCAGCTATCTGTTCTAGGGACTGCAGAGAAAGCTTCTCCGTCCGCTGGCCCAGATCGATGAGCTTGTGCAGCAGGTTCGACTCCTGCTGCAGGTCTACGATGAAGCGCTGATCCTCCTGGGAGAGCACCTTGTTCAAAGCCTCCAGAGCCAGCAGTCGCACATCCTCGGGAGTATCGTTCTTGAATAACTGCGTCATGATAAGCTCCAGAATTCGTTGGGTAAATGCCATCTGAGGAAGCAGGGGCAACAGGTTCACGTAGATCTTTCGCTTAATGAAGTTGGAAAAGATCTCAAAGTTGCGAACGCAGGGATCGATAAAGTTCGACTGCAGTTCCACCGGCTGCAGAGCCCCCAAGCTGACTGTCAGTGGGGTGAAGTCCAGATCGATGGAAGGGTGGCTAACCAGCTGGACCAATGCCTTGTAAACAAGCGCTCGCTGTTTCTCGCTGAGCACAGGAGCACTCTCGTTCAGCAGGGAGAGTGCCGCCTTTTGCAGCTCTAGGTCTTCCTGCTTGGCGTCGAAATCCTCTCTTTCAATCTGCCGCAATGAGGCGATCGCGTCGTCCTGCAGAGATTCCCGTATCGTTGTATCCAGCTTTTGCAGAGAATCCCTCGCGGCGGATAGTTTATAAATTTGGCTGATGATGTGATAGATCTTGACCTTCTGTTCGCTGGCCACATCCGCGGCTTGGAGCTTGAGCAAAAAACTGTTGAGGATCTTGTCAGCTGCGTACTGCGGATCACCCGCCACGCAAACCAGCGCAATTCCGGTGGCTGGGTGGAACAAGCGCTGGTTCACATCACTGAGATGGGGCAGGATCACGCCTAAAATGGAGCTCTGATAGCTGTGACTGATGTCGGGCACGTGCGAGGCGCGCTCCAGCAGAGCCGCAATAGCCTTGAGTGAAGCCCGAAGCACCTCCTCGTTGTCGTTTCCAGGGAATGTCTCCGCTTTCAGAGCCTGCCAAATCTGATCGAAGTGCGGTTCTATAACAGAGGGGGGAAACTTCAAGGCAGCTTGGTGCTGTTTGGATGAAGAAAATAAATCAATTAGCGAGAGTAGCAGGTTGGGAATCACACGGTTCTTACCAGTAGTTCTATAGAGTCCAGTTTCGCTACCAACAGCTCGCTTTCTAGCTTCTCCACAGCCAGCACCACTGTCCACTCCGCAAAGTCGTTGTTGGCCACCAGGCAATTGGTCAGCTTGGCCGCCAGCGCGTCTCGAGTTATCGCCTCCGGATCCTGTTTGCTGGGATTAAAATCGATGGGGAAGTAACAGGCAAAGATCTCGAACATCTCCTCCGCCAAGTGCAATAGTTCATATGTGGACATGAACTCTGGCATGAAGCTGAAGATTATGTCCAGGTTTCGGGGATCCCTCTCGCCGTCAATTGAGTTGATCAGGCCGTACACAAAATCGCCAGCCATCGTCTGGAGCTCTGAAGAAACAAATTCAGGTTGATTTTGGTTTTGAAATTAAAAAGACTCTGCATCCGTAGTACCTTTCTTAAAGTTGAGCGTCAGGTACTTGAAAATGTTGAACAACTTGGTGCGATCGCCCCGAGTCTGCGACTGGCAGGTGGTATGCTCGAAAAAGGACTTCAAAATTCTCGGGACAAGCGAAGGCGACAGAGCCTTCATATGGACCAGGGCCCCAATGCCATCGATAATGGCTGGCATCACATTATGGTGATCGCGTAGTCGGTCTATGTAGAAGGTGGCTAGGAACTCAAGTTGCTGCTCCTGGAGCAGATCCTCAGGCAGGGCGACCAGCACAGTGGACAACAGATTGGTGCCAGCCACCCGCTCATCCGTGTCCTGTGACGTCAGGGCAAAGCCCAACTGCTCCGCCAGCACCGATATGTCATAGGCGCCATCCGTCAGATCTAAGGGAAACAAAGGAATCCCATTTCAGATGAGTGTTCCCTGAGATGCGTCAGATAGTTACCCTTGACTATATGGACGGCGGCCTTCTGGAGCTTTCCGTCACTCTTCAGGGCCTTCTCGAGGGTGGCACGAGTGGGCGTTGTCATTGCGGGCGCCGTCACTTGCGTGGGTGTCTAATTTTAATATATGAATTAAGCACGTTAAGCCGAAATGTTAAGAAACTTGCCGTACGGGGGCCTTATCTATGCAGGGCTGCCAGATCGGGAAATTTCTTTTGTTTTTGTCTAATCAGTGCTGACAGCGGTGTTGTTTTTTAAAACACTTTAAAATTTTTCGAAAACTTTTAACAAAGTTACAAAAATTAAATAATACATAAGAAATAAATTAATTAGCCTGGCACAAAAAAGCAACAAATTTAGATGAATAAAAAGGACTTGCACTATTCAGTAAAAAGATTTATCAAAACAAACTACAAAAGCTTTTTTTTATAACTTCGTTTGTACTCCAGTATTAAGTATTTAAGAAATCCTTTTTTAAAATTTTCAAAATATTAAGTTTAATACAGTTTTTAAGTACACTATCGATATTTTAAATTCTTAACGCTTTTAACGAATTTCTGATCAGCTTGGCAACCATAGCAAAGTCCCATCACTAGAATTAAAAACACAGGCAGCAGCAGTTTAGTTTAGCTCGCTAAGCGCTTTAATCTTTAATCAGAATAAGTTATCCACCTACTTTAAGCTTGGAGCGCCGCGTAACAAAGCCAATACACTAATGTCCATAACCGTAAGTCGCCCTTCCACCCGCCGGCCGCGTATTTTCCTCAGCGGCTCTGGGAGTCGTCAACGTTGTTGTTGTTGTTGGCTCTGCGGACGCAGACGCCCCCACGTAGCTCGGCGAATTGAATCGAAACTTGGAAACTAAGTGCAGAATGCGAAATGCATTATCCAAAGGCTTGCAATTATCTCGAAATCTATTTAAATCGCACTTACTTGGAGCATATGTGCCGTTGTGTTGGTGTGCCGCTGAAACCTGAGCCTCCGCGCCAGTGTGCGCGGTCTGTGTGTGTGTGTGTGTGTGTGTGCGAGTTGTGATTTTTTTTCTTCACTATTTGTTTTTTTTTTTTTTGCATACGACGATTCGAGTTGAAAGAATTATTCAAAGCCAGCGACGACGAGTCAACAAGGTCAGGCGCCTTATTTGGAGGGCCGCTTCCAATGCGGGCTCGCAGCTCATAATAATTTTATGACATTTTCCAATCGGCATTCGGAATTCGGCGGTTTTTGGCCCACGTCCCGCCTTAGGATTGGAAATAAAAAATGGGAGCGCGCCGTGGACAGTGCGTTTAAATTTGGTGACAACTGTTCGGGGTTGTGTGCTTTATAATTAGCGCACTTCGGTCGTTGCCATTGCTATCTTTTATTTGTCGCCTGGTTTGCGAGGCTCACTTTCCATTTTTACCTGCAAGGCGCTCTCTATCCAAGTGGCAGCTGTCGGTGTGTTAGTTAGTGACGCAGTCGAAGCCAAGTCGCTTCCGTTCTATTGTTCCCACCAGTGATGACTCCCCAGATTCGATCGTGGAGAGAGCCACGAAATCATCTCACTCTTAGTGGGTTTTATGAGTCGATCTATTCCTATAGGAACCATGTTCTTGTTGGACATCCCAGTTAGTGGTCCAGATAATGGGAGTATAGCTGAGTCATACAGCCAACTAGCCAGATGATCAGCACTGGTTCCCACTTGCACCAACACCTTCAAACATGAACAGAGAAACTTACGCACTCGAACGCTTTAATTGGAACTAATCTTTGTTTCGTTTTTGGTTACAATGACAACAACCTGTTCCGATCTTCTACACACGATCAGTTACTGCGAGGTGGCAAGCAAAAGACAACCACTTGCGTAGGAATGACCGTAATGGCCAAGACTACGATAGAAGAAATATGCGAGAATGCCAAATTAGCGAGGGACATGGCTCTGACGGGGAACTATGACTCGGCCTGCATCTACTATGAGGGCCTTCAGGGGCTCCTGGCTCGCCAGCTCAAGGCCACAGCGGACCCCCTGCGAAAGGGCAAGTGGAACATGGTAAGTAGCTACTGCTAGAAAGAGTATCTCTTATTGGTAATCCATATTTTTGGCTTGTAGATCAATCAACAAATCAGCCAAGAGCATGCCAAGGTCAAGGCCATCCAGCGCACCCTGCAGGACATCTCGCTGGACTTGCAAGCCACCAAGTTCGCCCACAAGCTGCGACACCAACTCAGCGAAGACAGTTCTGCGAATAATGATCCCTCCGCCTGGTTTAAGCCCGATCCCGACATTTGGACACCGCCTCCGAAGGACCCAGACGTCTGGGGACCACCGAAACCACCACCCACACAGACTGTTGGTCGCAGAGCCGCCCCCAACAACCGCCGGACGACAACCGGCGCCCAGGGCAGCCGACCCAACAGCACAATACCACAGAGCACATCCCGGAATGGTCCTACCACTGCTCGAAACTCGCGGCAAACGACGTCGGCGGCATCGAGCAACGGAGCCCGCCCCACCAATGGCCGGGCTGGAGGTCGCAAACTATCCACGTCCAACAACAACAACAATGAGCCCAAGGATGACGACTCCGGTGCTGCCAGCAACAATGGGGCGGGAGGAGGCGGCGAGGGCGAGGGCGACCAGCAGGCTGCCCAGGAGGAAGAGAAGAAGTTCCAGCCCAATAACCACATCGAAGCTGAACTTGTCGACACACTCGGTAAGCTGAGAGATCTTTTCCTCGTAGACTATAATTGTAGCTGTCTGTTTTCTATTTAAGAACGTGATATTCTGCAAAAGGATCCTAAAGTGCGCTGGAGCGACATAGCCGACCTGCACGATGCCAAGCGGTTGCTAGAGGAAGCGGTCGTACTGCCCATGCTCATGCCGGACTACTTCAAGGTGCGTCATAGGCTCTGAATCATTTATTACGAGAGGGCGGTTATCTAGGCTCTAGGGTCAACAAACGCGGTAATTCATGGAGAGTTTGTTTTCCCCCCGAGAGTATATTTTTATTTTCGTATTTGATCAACTGGTATTCGACTCTGATACTCTTTGTGATGAGCAAGTTGCTCCAATTTCCCATATTTAGTCCAGGAAATTTCCATTTCATAGTCTGCCTAAGAAAGTTCTATGCTTGCTCTATCTTATCTACGAAATGGGTGGCCAGTTTTAAGATTCTCGGGTTCAATCTATAATAAACTGTCAAAACATGTTTGTGGCTGACAAGATTAATTACCTTTCTTGCGATCGGCCAAGTGGCTACTTAATATTACTAATAATGTTTATTTTATATGCATCTGTAGGGCATCCGGCGACCCTGGAAGGGAGTGCTGATGGTGGGCCCTCCTGGCACCGGCAAAACAATGCTGGCCAAGGCAGTGGCCACGGAATGCGGCACAACCTTCTTCAACGTCAGCTCCGCCACTCTCACATCCAAGTACCGCGGCGAGTCCGAGAAAATGGTGCGACTTCTGTTCGAGATGGCACGATTCTATGCCCCGAGCACCATCTTCATCGACGAGATCGACTCCCTGTGCTCGCGACGAGGATCGGAATCGGAGCACGAGGCGTCGCGACGCGTCAAGTCGGAGCTGCTGGTACAAATGGACGGCGTGGGGGGAGGCGAGGAGCAGGCCAAGGTGGTGATGGTGCTGGCCGCCACAAACTTTCCTTGGGACATCGACGAAGCGTTGCGTCGGCGTCTGGAGAAGCGCATATACATCCCGCTGCCGTCCGACGAGGGGCGCGAGGCGCTCCTCAAGATCAATCTGCGCGAGGTCAAAGTGGACGACAGTGTGGATCTCACGTATGTGGCCAATGAGCTGAAGGGCTACTCGGGAGCGGACATCACAAACGTGTGCAGGTGGGTTTGATACATCTCATTAACTATTCAGAATCTCAAGATTAATATGACCTTTCAGGGAGGCCAGCATGATGTCCATGCGGCGAAAGATCGCCGGTCTCACGCCAGAACAAATCCGACAGCTTGCCACCGAGGAAGTGGACTTGCCCGTATCGAACAAGGACTTTAACGAGGCCATGAGTCGCTGTAATAAGAGCGTGTCCAGGGCGGACCTGGACAAGTACGAGAAGTGGATGAAGGAGTTCGGCTCGTCATGATGGCGCTGCCATAGGAGACATGGCTAGCAATTGTAGGAATATATTTTTGAATACCCTTTAATTCCGCGCTTAAGTCTGTAAGCTTTTAAAGTGAGAACCGAACCGAACCGATCCGATCCGGAAGAATTGAACATATTTTATATACAACATTTTGCATATACATACGGATACAATCAATATATATTTACATTGTATACAGTGAAGCGGTCGCCGTGGAATTAAAAAAAAAAAAAGACTAACCGTTCTCTAAGAGGAAACAACCACACAAGCAAACAGAAATTGAATCCAAGTCGATGATGAAGTCAAGGTCGTGAGATAGGCACTATGTTTATATATATATACACACACCAGCACACCCGCACACCCACACACTCCATTATGCACAATCCTTCCAACTAATCGCGTTAACCAGTAATCGCACCTAAGGAAGCAATAAGGAATCGCTGCCCAGCCTTAACCCCGGATGCCCGTTCTAACCGGATAGCTACACTCCATATTGTTTCATTTTTTTTATCGAAAAGTTTATTTTTAACAAGCAATGTTCACTGTCTAATATTAATGTTAATTTTCGCTTAATTTATACATATACATATTAAATTATAGTTTAGTGCAGGCAGAGAAGTAGGGCAACTCAAGTGTTAACTTTAAAAACCAAGGCAGAATGTTCCATCTGATCTGCAATTAACCCATTGCCGACAGAACAAGAACCCGAAGCAATATGTACTTAAACTGAAGATTCTGAAATTTTAAACAATAAACGCAGTTTTTAACTTGATAACGATGCGCTTTATACCGATATTCTGGAGTGGGTGCATGACTCATCGAGCGGGTGCACCACGAGGGCACTTGCAATGTCTGGAATTACGCAGTTCTCCAATTATATAGAAAAAAAAACACGCCTGCAGTTGGCTTGTTGCGTCACATCATACCACCCTTTCCCCCATGGCAGTTACCAGGACTAGATCCAAGTCTCAGTAGGGTCGGGATGGTGGGGGCATTGGCATCATGGGGCCCATAATCGGATATGGAGCAGAACCCGTGGCTGATGGATAGAATCCGCTGGATGACACGTTGCCGTAGGCTGGCAGAGAAGCTGCTGGTGGTGGTCCCTGGCGCTGCTTGCGCATCAAATCCTGCATCTTCTCCGCTTTAAGGCGCCGTAGGTGCATAGTCCGCCGGCTGGCAAGGAACTCCTCCAGGAAAGCCTCCACCCCCAGATCATTGTCGTTGAACTTTTTGATCATTTCCTCGGTCTGTTCCTCACTCTCTGAGGCGGCAGTTTGGAGCAAGGCTAACGCCGTTTCCGGGCCCGTTCCTCCAGTCTTCTCCTTCACCAGGCCGAGCTTTTCCTGAACGGCGGCGCACCTGGTGCGACCTTCCTCCGAGAGCTCTGCCACACGACCGCGCAGTTCTATGATTTGTGGCTCCCGCTCAATGTTGCGCTCTGCCCGACTCCTGTTGTCCTCAAAGACGCTAGTCTTTTCCGTCCGCAGCACCTCCAGCACCTCGTCCACTTTCTCGTCCAGCTTATCGTCGTCGTTCAGCAGCTCCTTCAGCTCATCGGAGCCCAGTGGCGCGATGGAGGTCCGAAGCTGGTTGAGGTATTCCTGGTACATTTTCGTTGTTTACTTGCTATTCCTTCGAAATACTTTACAATATCAATTTTGCGACTTTAATTTCTATGACTATTATGGTGTGGCTGTGAATTCGGGTTGTGATTTAAGTGTGACCATAGCTTGTGTACTAAAAATACTCCGATGTTCTAAAAAAGGGGAAATGCTTAGACCCACATTTGATAACATAAAAATTATTATTTTATTTTTATTTTTTATGTCTAACAAAGAAATTTAATAGACCAATTATTTTTCAATAATTTACAATTTCATATATACTTTTCATATTGCAACTGGTATGGCAGGCCATCATTTGATCAAGAGATTGAAGGTCTGATTTGGAGCGTAGATCTGGAGAGGATTGGCCGCGTAGACAGTCACCGGAAGGTTCCACACCATGGTCTCGACTGGCAGCTCGGCTGGCGCCTTCAGCTCGCCTTGTTCCGGATTAGGGACGCCAAAGTCCATCAAGGTTGTGGTTACGAATTCAAAATGTAACCGCCATCGGACATCCACCAGATCTGTGCGGAATGTGGGTGTCACATGCAGAGGAATGGGCACTACCACCTGCGTCTGGAGCGTGGCGTAGCATACTTGGTGCGATGTGGAAATGGTTGTGAGTTTTCCCGAGGGCGCCGGAGCATCCTTGTCTCGCGCACTGCCTGAGGTGGCCGACTTGTGCAGATTATCAGCCACTACTCCACTTGCTATGCTGGCCATATCAAAGGAGTTGATTGAGGAGACGTCGTCCCCTATCGAAGTTTGCGACTGCAGAGGTTGGTTCTGTACTACCTGCGGTCGGATCGGGAGCTCCTGCTGCTGCAACTTCACTGAAAACTGCACACATCGCACCTGGCATTGGCCGAAATCCAAGCTGCCAACGATGTCCTCGCCCAACTTGTAGGCGGGCTTAAACAAGCAAAAGCGTCCTACGAATCCGCGCTTGTTCGAAATGCGGTAGAACTTTGGCGCCCGCCTGGCTGTCACGTTCTGAAATCCAAAGCCAGCTTAATTAGCTTGGACTATCATAGATATTAAGAAGCACTTGCCTTCAAATGGTGCCAGGAAATCTCAAGCTCGCTAATCTCACGCTTCTCCAAGAACGGATTTGTTGGGGCCAGCTCTTCGTTGGTCTCCACCGTAACTGGCAGCTCGTCCGGCCGGGCAATGATCGGAATTGGTAGGACGCGGATAGGCACAGTCAGAGTCTGGACCTTCGATTTGACCCGCTGAGTGGCGATGGTGATTTTATAGAAGTAGCGAATATCGTGACCCCTGTAGGTTGGTGGACCATCCCGCGGAACGAATTCATTGAAGAAATCTAGAATAAAAGTGTATTTATTGATGGTTTGTCATATTGAAGGGGAAAATGTTTCACTTACACATCTTGGTCTCTCCCGGCTGCAATCTCAAGTCACAGAAAAGAATCTTGGGCTTGGTGGCCACAATCACTTCTCCAGGGGCCTGGGTCACCGCATCCAAGGCAGTTCTCCCGATCATTTCCGTAAGTTCGGCTGTTCTGTCAGCGTTGGGGTTTGAATAGCTGGTCTTCCGATAGCAATGCAACTGAGCCGAGGCCCAGGCCAGGTTCTCTTGGCTAAAATCACAAACATCATTAAATGGATTACCATTCATTGATGGAAATAATCCGATCCACCCACCTTGCATCGTTGGCATTTCGGGTACCTCCTGCGTTTTCCTCCTGGAACACTTTATGGGTAAACTCAATGAGGCACTCGACTCTTTCGCCAGTGGCGTAGATGGCAGAGTCTGCCCTTAGTAGCTTTGCTTTGATCTCAATCATTTATTTGTGTTTTTATTGTTTTTTTTTTTTTATTTTTTTTTTTTTTGTGTTTTCAATAAAAACATCAGGTCGAGAATAGTGTGACCGCATGCAGAGTCTAAAACTTGGCGGAGCCCGGGATGTGTAGCGGGAATTTTGAGTTACTTTTCTTAAAATATTTAAATTATTTTCATTTACGTAGGCTTGTCGATAAGGATCAAAGAAAATAGAAATAAATGTTAATATTGGCATGTAAACAAGATTCAAGAACAAACAAGTCTCCAAAGAATCCAAAACAAACTAGGGTAATCTAATAGAAAACTTTACTTATTTTTCACAAATTTGTTCTCAGGAAAAAAAAAAATAAATAAATGAAACAAAATAGAGGAAAAATACACAAGTACGCAAAAAAAAAAAAATACATAATGTAAGCCATTCGAAAATTTGTACGGATCCATCATCTTCAGAATCCCTACATTGACAGTATATTTTTCGGTTAAAAAATATATTTAACAACATAAAATACAACTTAAAAACCAAGTGAAGAAGCATAAGGAAGAATCTACAAGAATGCAAATCACAGAACAAAAAATGAATAGTTTAAACAATTAAAAAATTTGTACGGATAAAAAAATATATTGAATAAAATAGAACTTCAATTATAATAAAATTGAAAAAAATTAATAAAAGCACGATGAGGCCCACAAAAATTTTAAAATCCATGGTAATTGGGTTTCATTACTAAAATATTTCCAGTGAAAATTAAAATAAAAAAAAGAAAATTTAAAAAAAAATAAAACCAAAATAAAGCCAACGTAAGGAGAAAATATCAAGAAAAATGAAAACCCCAACAGAAAAAAATCCATCGTATAAACAATTAGAAAATTTGTACGGTTCCGTCATCTGCATCGACGGTATAATTTTCGGATAAAAAAAAATTATTTGAATAAAATAGGGCTTAAAATATAATAAAATAATTGAAAAGATAAATAAAACCAAAACAAGGCGAACTTAAGGTGGAACAATCCATGAAAACGAAATTGAAAACGAATTCGAAACGCATGGTATATGGGATTCATTCATAAAAAATGTATGATATAAACAATTAGAACATTTGTACGGATCCATCATCTTCAGAAACTATATATCGACAGAATATTTTTCGGATAAAAAAATATATTTAACAACATAAAATACAGCTTAAAACCCAAGTGAAGAAGCATAAGGAAGAATCTACAAGAATGCAAATCAGAGAACAAAAAATTCATATTTTAAACAATTAAAAAATTTGTACGGATAAAAAAATATATTGAATAAAATAGGGCTTCAATTATAATAAAATTGAAAAAAATAAATAAAAGCACGATGAGGCCCACAAAAATTTCAAAATCCATGGTAATTGGGTTTTATAACTAAAATATTTCCAGTGAAAATTAAAATAAAAAAAGGAAAAGAAAAATAAAACCAAAATAAGGCCAACTTAAGGAGGAAAAATAAACGGAAATAAAATAGCTGAGAAATAAAATCCATAGTATTAACAATTAGAAAATTTGTGCGGATAAAAAATATATTATAAAAAAAAAACAGGGCTTAAAATATAATAAAATTGAAAAGATAAATAAAACCAAAACAAGGCCAACATAGGAAGGAGCCTTTGTACAAGTACTTTGACAGTCTTTTTTCGGAAAAACAATATATTAAATAAAATAGGGCTTAAAATATAATATAAGAGAAACAAATAAAAATAATAAAAATAAAATAAATAAAATCCCGGTTAAATAAAGAACAAACAGGGCGAGAACTCAAACAAGAAAAATATCTTTTAAATCTTTTAATAACAAAATAACATCAGAATAAAATAAAAATAATAAATAAATCGTATATAAAAAAATGTATGAAAAAATAAAAAAAGTATAAATTAAAATGAATAAATAGGAGAATACCAGTTTATTCCCAACCCGGTTGGCGAAAGACTGAGGGAAATAAATTCATAGTGTGGCTGTTGAGAGTTATGTGTGACCAGCTACGATTTCTGACAAAATCGCGCCAGAAGAATGCCCGTCTGTTACTGGGGCCCCTTCAGTTCAATTCGATTCAGGTAAATTCAGGTAGTTCGGAGAAGAGTTCGTGGTTCGGTCGTTGGACGATTGTTTCGAATCTATTGATTCAAATGTGAAATAATGTAGAAGATTCTTCGTCGTCGACCTGTTTAAAATATTCGTTTGTGATAACGCTTTTCATCGGCCAACCCGACTTTGCTGTGCGTTTCGTGATTCGTGTTTTTATTTTTGGAGGCTCATAAGAAAAAATTATGTTGAGGGCGCGCGTCGTTCGCGGATGCTCGTCTATTTGAGTTTCAGCTGCCTGGAAAAAAGCTATATTGGAACGCAACAAGTGCGATTTGGAGTTATAATTCGATCGCGATCGTTATTGTTTTTTCGCAATCTCCATTTTCCGTCGCGTTTCGGCGCCGACGTCGACTGCGCAGCCGCCGCGACGCGAAATGTGCAACAACAAGTTTAACAGAAAATACCAATACAACGACCAAGTTAACAAATATATTTGATAGCTGCCTTAATTTGATTAGCAGGCCGAAAGTGAAGTGCAAAAATAAAAATCAAAAAAGCTATTGTTTTTCATCTGAAAGCTGAAAGTGTGGAGCTACATACATACACACACACATACATTGGATTAGCAGAGCGCCGAGGCGGGCTGAGAAGAAGGTAGAGAGTCCCTAACTTGCGATCGGGGGAGGAATATGTGTGTACCCCCATGTCCGCAGTAGACTTTTATTTTTAATTGCTTTGAATTGGCTGCATTTGGTGCACTTATATTCTTGCCACCCCCTCGGCGATACAATTGCCATGTCCGGCTTAGGAACAACAACAACAACATCAACGGCATTCCAACGCCGTTGGCTTTGTTTTCACACACACATACCAGCGCCAGTACAGTGACGGGCCGGAATGTGAGATCAACAAGCTTTAGTATTATAACATAAATAAGCCAGACAATATACAGTTACTTTGGAATGTAATTCTTTAATATTTTTGCATAAAAAAAGAGTGTTTACTAAATACAAGCTTCCTTGGGGTGTCTTTTATTTAATAAAATAAGGTATTCCCTATTGTCTCGTCCCCGATTGTAGAGCTCCACCCGCTCCTCTTTCTTACTTTAATTCGTCTTCCAAGCGGGATGTGGTTTTGCGCTTCTTCTCTGCGTTCGAATGCCCAAGAAAGAAAAGGGTGCGTCGACATTCCATTGTTGTTGTTTGGAGTTGTGCCTTTTCTTTTGGTTTTTATTTTGTTGCTCACCTTCATACGTTATCAGAGTGTACATTTTGATCGTTTATTTCGTTTTCATTTTCGAGAGGTGAAGAAGAAAGAGTTGGTCCAAAGCGTTGCCATTCCGGCGAAACCTTGGGGATATCATCTGGCAGCGCTCTTCGTGGAAAGTTCATCCACTATTTGGGGGATACCTTTTTAATTAGCAATTGGAAAGCAAAAAATAGCATTTTGTAATTCTAGATAGCAGTCTTTTACTCTTGTTTGTATACAAAAATGTGGCATTTTTACGTCACAGAAAGCTGTAATATTTCCCATGGTGCTGTGGAGCCGAGAAAGCGGGAATAAACTGGAAGATCGGAATTTTTAATGCCTTGCTCTAACAGGTTTTAGTAGTAGTAGCTTTACATGCTTGCTTTTCTACTACGATTTTTTTTTTGCAGCTTACATTCTGTTTTTCCACTCCTGCTCCAACAGGTTTTAGTAGTAGTAGTAGTAGCAGCAGTAGCTTACATGCCTATTTTTCTACTACGATTTTTTTGCGGCTGTTCCACTCCCTCTCATTTGGCCGCTTCTTCTTCTTCTTGGGCTTCTAAGTCTGTTTGCATGGAAAACTTTCGGTCATTGTACTGTTGTCTTGCCACCACCAATAACAACAACAACAACAAAGCTGATAGCAAGTACAGTGGGGTATGGAGAATAGTAGATACCTTAAAGGATTTTTTAAAAATAAATCTTATTTAATTGAAGAATGGTTCGTTTTTGTACTATATCTTTTATTATTTTTAATTATTAGGTAATTAGATCCTCCCCACTGTAGCCCCAATTGCCTGTTTCATATTCCGTCATTCTCGCCTAGCTCCACTTGGAGCACTCCGTTTTTTTTCGCACACCTCACTGCCTGCGAGTGCAATTTTGTGCAGCTGAACTTTGTACTTTGTTGCTGTGGCATGATGACTCATGAGTTTGCCGTATTTTATTTCAGTTTTTTTTTTTTGTATCACGACCCAAAGCATAGTTTCAGCCGTGAATGAGTAAGAACTAGGAGAGAGGTAATGTGTTTACCGTGGAACCTGCAATGGCCAGGTTATCAATGGGCACGCTCCGCATTCCACTTACCTTATCGCCAGTTATGTTGGCCCAAAAAACACAAAAAATTATATTGCCCCACAAACAATATCAGAATGCAGTTGCATTGACAGCCGGCGATAAGGAAAGGTAGTGTGGAATATACAAATATGATAAAATAAATACTCTTCCCAGAAAGTCACAAATAAACAAAAAGGTGAACAAATAGAAGAATCGAAAACAAGTGCAGAGCCATAGTATGTAGGGCGGCGATCCACAAAACGCCCCAGAGAGAGAGAGAGAGAAACTGGCACACAAACAAAGACCGAGAGCATGGATGTGGGTGTGGGTGTGGGTGGGTGCACAGGTGCTTGATAATCTAATTACGCCACGGCGTCTAGGCCTCAATTCAAACAGGGCTATTCGAAGTCAAATATTGGCTGATTGATAAGCTTGTGGTTGGGGATCGAATGGGGAACGGGGTTGGAAGGGTCCCCCCTTTGTGAGTCTGGGCTCTCCTGAAATCTAGGTCTTGTTGAACTTTGCCATTTTTGACCTTAATAAATACTTCATTTTATTGCCTCATAAAATGGTAAAATTTCTTTATCGGAAACTACGTAATCGTTGAAAGCCAGAACAGCAGATAAGCCCTTTTTCTGATAACTTGGTCAACCGGTAACCGGGCATTTAGCTTTGTATTTGTGTGAGGCAACTATTATATTTACTATTCCTATCAGAAATAGGTAATTTTTTTTATTAGAAGGGTTTGTTAAGAAAGGTATTGCATAAATATTTATAATAAAAAGACACCTATACCTATTTTTAACTATTTATCTTTATTTTAAGGCATTTTTGTATAGAAAATCACTTTTAAGACGTTTAAAAATTCACTTTTCATTGGTGAAGTGGCAGGTTTCTAGCCCAAGTTCATAGGTGCGATCCATTATAAGGTAGAAAATACCTCATACCTCATACCTATAAGGTATTAAAATAACCTCATCTTAAAATACCACATATCTCATTAAAGGAATGTGGAAATTATGTATTGAGGTACTTTAGGTATTAAATGAGAGGTACATAGATACATAAATTTGTAGATCTAATAACTACATACATTTTTTACAATGTTTAAATACCCTAAAAAACATCTTAAACAGCCACATCTTAAAAAACACTCTCCTCTAAGGAATATTGAAAGCTAATCAACTTCCTTTTATTTGGTTTACAGTTAACAGTGGTTTGCAGTGGTTTACAGCCTGGTTTACAGTCTCTTCTGGCTATATTGCCTTTACAGCTTCATGGCGCGATTTCTACCCAGCTGCAGAATTTAACGCCACAGCAGCCAGATCCCCCCAATCCCCTCCAATCCTCCTATATTTGCGCCTATTTTGCAATTCTTTATTCGACGCTTGGCGCGTAATTGGAGTCTTTTGCGCTGCTTGCTTTGCTTCTCAAATGCAGAAATGTTTATTTTTGGCTTTGGCTTTTTGTTTGCATGTTTGTCTCTCCACCTCCTCCTGCTCCACCTCCTTCTGCTCCTCCTCCTCCTGCCTCCACGCCTTTTGTTTACTTTTGCTTTCAGCGTTCCAGCGATACTTTTGTTGTTCTGCCCAACGATCTTGTTTTCCGCAAAATTATAGTTTATTTTCCGTCTCTGTCTCTGTTAGGGGAGGGGGCGGGGGGAGTTGTTGGCTGGAAACCCGAGCTTTTATTCATGCAGCTGTTTTTTTTATGTTCCTGTAGGTGAAGCCATCCACGAATAATATTTTTCATAATTCAGAGGAACTCATAAATATCTTTCTTGATATTTTTGGCCAATTTTTGATATTCACAGAATCCGAGAGAGGCCTGTGGATTAGATGGATTTTTTTTTGTGGGGTGATCGGGTTGTGTGCGGTCAGTGCCACGCCCCACGCCTCGATCGGGCCATCGTGGGCCATTTTGCCGCCCCTCGAGAGTCGGAGCTTGTGGCGGAAACCCGTTTCGCAAAGCAAATGGAATGGTGCGCCAGTCGCTCCACTCACCGAAACCCGTTTTCTGACGCGGCCTGACCGTGATTTTATTTGTGTTTTGTGCGCTTTTAGCTGCTGCTGCCTTGTGAGCTTCAAAATATGCTCATTTTTGTGTTTTTTGCGAGCGAGTTATTGTCCTAAACCGATCGTACTTGACTGCCAAGGTGTGTGTATGGTCCACTTTGTTTGAAAATCACCAAAAAATGGACAAACTTTCATAATAATTTTAAATTAAATTGCAGAGGGAGAAGGCTTCTGAACAAGTGCGTTTCGCAGGCTGCGGGTAGCTTCCCGCACATTCCATTCCACAGCTCACATTTCACAAGTCTATCAAGAAACCCTACACTCCACTTGTGGGGAGGTATAGGGGCCGGGCAGAGGTAAATGAATGGAGCAAAGTATTCCCAGGGATTGGGTCTGAAATTCCTGCGAAATCGATTACATCTCGGATTTCCCTTTGATGGAGTGTCTAAAATCAATTAATCATACATCTAGGAACTAGATTTGAATCTCTGGGAAGGGGTTACAAATGGGTGCTAAAAGGCACTAGACACTAGAACTAATGGAAACATCTCTCTTCAAAATAATCTGCATTTTCGGCTGAAGTCAAGCACTCTGCTGGCACAATAGCCCTGACACGGGAACATGATTGAAACAAAGATGACGCCTCATCTATGGTCCGAGGACCCTCCTCCGATTGACAAGCGGCCCTTGCAATTGATGGAGAGAAGCGTGACACAGGGAAGTGGTGGCCCAACAAAGGTGCAACAATAGTCCTCATTCCTCCGGTAGGTGACTGTACTTTTTCCACTACTCTACCATGGAGGACCGAACTGTTGAATAAACACACACACACAGAGAGAACCCCGAACCTCGAGGCTTGCCCTGGAATTGTCAATTGGTATAATTCATAAGAGAAAAACTGAAACTGAATTGTTTTTCCAACCACGTTCTGGGCCAGTGCACAACTCTCCCCTGGTGCATGCCACATACTCGTACCTTCCCTGATCCTTTTTTACCATTCGAGCGTGTGCGTGTACTGCCCTCCGCTAGCTACCTGCTTTGCATGATCTTGATTTTGGTCTTACCTGGCCTTGCCTCTATGGGAATGCTTGCCGGGCTCGAGATTGCTTTCCACCCCTAACACCGAACAGTAGGAATGCCATAAAAGCAGAATCCCGCTTGGCAACAAACTCGGCATAGTTCTAGGGCTGGAAAGGGTCTTTAGGCGATTACTAGACTAAAGTACAACAAGTCAAGTTAAGTTTTAGAGACTTTTTAGAGAGAAAGCTTGGTTATTTCATTGTTTTTTAAAAGAGAGTTCCACGAATTAGGTAGCTCTTCCTTCTTTTTAAGATT